CTAGCTAAAACATACATTTGTTCAATCAGCATACATGACCTTAGTTATTCGGTGAGCTGTGCACTTGAAAGCAGTCAGCACGGGCAGGAGCTTTTCAGTAAAGTGAAGCGCACTCAAGCGATCACACAAGCTTTGAATGAAACAAGACTTTCATGCTTGCCTTCCGAAGAATAGAAACTGCTGTATGCTCAGGTCACACTGTGATGAATTGCCAAGACAGTGCTTCTTCTCAGTTTGCGCATCACTTCCTAATTGTACTTTCTCAAACTGGTATTTTTTTCTGATTGCAAAAACAGCTTGAAGGCATCCCAATTCCTCGACACATTGCCGCCATGTGATTCTCCAGGAAGCTGAGAAAGAAGCTGAATAATACATATCAGTCTTCCAGCTGAGCAGTGGGCACTGAGCAAGCTGCCAACCTGTTATGGGCTCATTACGTCTGGAGATGACATGCGGACGTGCCCTGACCGCAGTGGCTTGGTCTCTCCTGCTGTACCCTGCCCCGGTGTGGAGAAGCCACTCTGTCACTCCCCATGGCAAAGGCGAAGGGATTTCTCAGACAGAGGTGATGGAGTAAAAAAAAATAAAAAAGGTGCGAATCAGCCTCTCTCCCTCCCTTAACCCCACCCCTCCCAGCAAAATTGACAGGCTCGCTGAAGTAATTGCTCCCAGCACTATTTTCTTTGGCAGGAAATACTGTTATCGACAAATAGGAGATTCAATAAACGCGCAGGAGATGAGGCTGGCGGCCGTGGTCAAAAGGCTGTCTCTGTCCTCTATACGGTTGGAGGTTGCACTGTATCCCCCAATCTTATTTGCCCTACTCTTTTCCTCCCTATATACCACTTACTGGCTCATCCCATACGGCAAAAACATCCCTTGACCCACCTTGCATTTTGTTCCCCAAGGGTCTTGTTTTGCTCATTGCCTTCATTTGGGGCCATTTTTGGAGCCAGAAGGGAGCAAAAAAGTCCCTTGTTGCCTCTTTGTTTCTCTGTGTAGTGGTGTAATGATGATATTATCTCCAAAAGGATTCCATTCATTTGGGCGAGGGTCATGAAAAAGCAGTTTATGGTCAGTGGCTCTGGTTTCTTGGAGGTCAGAGCTTGCGGTGAAACTAGAGCTCCGGCGTTTCTGGGCAAAGTGGGCTGCCTGCTGGGAACTACTGTGCACAGAGGAAATAAATAAAAAGTGACTGTCTTTTTCTTTTTTTTCATTCGACCCTGGGAAGAAATCTTTTTCACTGGCTTAATAGGTTGTGTTTTAAATGGATACATAGAATAGGCTATTTCAGTTTTTATACGAATTGATAAGACAACACATTCAAATGTGTTATGTAGCTATTCAACTACAGAACTATTTTGTATACCGTATTTTCTGGACTATAAGTCTTCTGGAGTATAAGTCGCATTAGCCTAAAAATGCGTAATGAAGAAGAAAAAAACATAAATAAGTCGCACCGGACTATAAGTCACACTTTTTGGGGGAAATTTAGGAACTGACATTTCATCTCGAAAGGCAAGTTATAGTAATAACAATGGAAAAGAGAACGACAGGCTGTTACATATCAACAGTTCTTCAGATAACTATAGCATAAACAACAAAGCAGAACAAGTTTACCAAACTCTCCATCTCACTCCAAATCAGTAAATCCATTGAATACTGTCACTTCTGAGCAACTCCGCATCCTCTAGAGGTAAATGGAGCGCCGCTTCCTCTTCTGCGTAGCTGTCGTCAGACTCAGCATCAGTTCCAGTTAGACTTATTCCAGCCTTTCTGGCAGGACAGCAGCTTTTTCTTCAGGAGACATACGCAGGAGGGCGTGAAGTGACAGTGGTACAGTAGTAGCAGATACTGACACACAAGCATAGAGCGCCCTCTAGCAGCTGTCAGTGTGAAATTTTACATTTATAAGTCGCACCGGACTCTAAGTCGCAGGACCACCCAAACCATGAAAAAAAGTGCGACTTACAGTCCGAAAAATGCGGTAAATAAAATTTCAAACATCACAAGACTTTCTGGGCCAACTATGTCCAGCAAATAGTCTTATTACAGCAATTAATATGTCTAACCAGGATATCGGCTGAATTGATATTTGGAAGCCGATATCCAATTGAGCTAATTTTTCAGTATCGGGGCACATATCCAATAGCAGTATTGCATCGATGCATTCCTGACACTTAAATTGATTAAAAACATACATTTATAAATATTTCAAGCTCTAAATCATCAAATATTATCACTATGGTATCCAACAGTATTTCTAAAAGTCTTGATAGCAAAATACAGGTTCTTTGATGAATACACAATTTAACAATAGAAGATGCTCTGTATCACCTGGTTCTATTAAGCTTTTGTCATCAATAGCAGCTCTTACTTCAGTAATTTGAGCAAGTGAAAAAGAGAAAAATGGCGCACTGCAGAGTCATTGTAACAACTATGTCTATTTCTATTTCAAATACCCACTTCCACAATAGGAACAGAGCTCCTTAAGCAACAACTGAAGACTTGTGAGAAATAGTACAGGTAGAAAAATGTATCTTGTAGTACAAAGACTCACGCTGCAATTTGGTGCCTTGGATTTAACTTGTTAAGACTTTCTCACAATAGTTGATTCACCCTTTTTTTTCCTCACATCTGTCTTGCTATTGTTTCTGCAAATGTATTGTTCAAAGCATGCACAGAAAATGTTGGAAAAGATATTCAGATTTTTCTCCCTCTGGTCTAATAGGCGCCTCCAGTCAAATAAAACTGCAGCCAGTCACTCCTCCACATCCACCAGCAGCAGACGAGAAAGATAAATGACTGCAGTGTTGTATAGATTAGCACATAGAGGGAAAAAAAATATCAGAAAATGTTCAGGCAAGGTCTATTTTACTGCTGTGATGTGCTTTCCATCAATACAGTCATTTTGTTTATTATGCAGTATTTGTAATACATTCTCATACATTACATAAAATACCAGCAACATTTCAGATCTACCCTTAAAGGTTTTATTACATTATGGGGCTTGTGTCCAATTTTGAACCATGAGTAAAAGACCAAAAACAAAACAAAGAAACAAAAATGCCCTTTTAGTCACTTGATGTTGAACCATGACAACTGTCTGGGATATTCACTTGCTCACTGTTCATGATGACAAAATGTCTTTAAACCTGTATAGGCAATCGTCTCAAATAGTTGAATTTTAAAATGTGACTTAATCAACTCAAGAGTAAACTACTGATGGGTGGTAATGGCTGATCATTTCAGTTTTCATTTATAACAAGTAATACTATGGGAAGTATCGCAAAACCAATTCCGATACCAATGAATTTGGTATTAAATTGCTTTAAAACTCCTGTACTATTAAGATTCTTACTATTAATCAAGCTGGGGTAGACAAAAGTAATGAACTGATCTACAAGTTGGATGTACTATGTGCAGAAAAACTAAAATATAAACAGTGTATTCCATAAATTGACTAACATCTATCTGTTGCCTTTTTGTTGCTCATTGTCACAGAGAAAAATGAATGTTCAGTATGAAAGCTGCCTAGTTCCTTTTCACTTTCTTAAATATAGAACCTGATTGTTTCATGTAGACTGTGCATTGCGGAAGATCAGCGGGCCCTCTCTTTCCTCCAGACAAATGAGCTAGCTTATTACCTCCCAAACTGCCTATTAGCACAGTGCACTTTGTGGGGAAGCGGCAGCCTAGGGGACCAACACAGATGAGTTTTGACTAGCAATCTCTTCCAGGCATATTTCATGTTGCATTTGCCGTGCCGCACTGCCCCTGTTTTGTTACATATGGCACCCAGGCTCAACCCCCACCTGAAATACAGCTCATTTTGACAACAGAACCTCAGAAATGACTAATTTAGCTCAAGTGTAGTTTTGAAGCGCCAACCGGGGCAGGAAATAAAACAGTACAATTGTATTATGCAAATTGGTTTGATTTGTGCTCCAGAAGATTTATGTTGATTTGTGGACCACATGGACGCCGTGTTTGACAGTAATAGATTCAGTCACTCGGGTAGTTTGAAATCAAGCCCGGGCTGAATATAATCCTGTGGTAACTTGTGTTTGTGTCACACGAGTGTTGATATGAGTGTGCGTTTTGCTTCAAATAGGTAAACTGATTGTGTAGGCATATCCCGAGAGCCCTCACCGGAGATTATGCACAAGAATCCATTTACGGTGATTATGAGCTGCCTCAGATACCACATAAAGTCTGTGTTTGGCGCTTTGTCAGGACTGTATATTACAGTTATGGCTGATTGGGAAGTAGTAAATGCCTCAGAATCAGAACATTAATTCAAATAGATGTATAACTCCATAAATGTCAAAATATATTTCTTTTTAAACATCAATTTATAGTTTCACTTTTTGTCTGGGCAAAATATGACTCTACACATGTAAAAAAAAACAAAAAACAAAACATGCTTCTAATTAGAGGAACAAAACATCAGCATGTTATTCAGTTTGATAAAAGAATTTATGTTACCATAGTTCTGGGTGAAATGGATATGAATGGGAGGTATTTCGGCATTGCTAGATGTACACATCTTGTTGGCTAGTTTCTTATTGTTTTGGTGGAGGTTGTAATTTACACAATGGAGTCACCTTATTATTGTGCATCCTAATTATTCACAACTTTCTGAGGCCAGAGTTGTCACAATAATGCCAACAGACAATAAAACGCTTTATAATTAGATGCAGACATGTGCACAGTTGACATATATTGACCTGAAGAGCTGCTTATACAATATATCTGTACTGAGGCAAGTCAAATTGGAAAAATATTTAACTAATTTGGATATTGTGTGCAGAATTTATGCACAGTTCTATCCGGTAATACCTCCTTAGACTCCTTTTCTAAACCATCATTGTAGTTTTTCATCTTCTTAGGGTCCTTTGTCTCCTCACACTTTTGCTCATTTATCAAGTGCCTGAGACATGTTGGGGTCGCAGCGTGCCTTCTCCCTAATAACCCCCCTGTTGTCTTTCTGTTTGCAGGGTGGACTGAGGAACAGCAAGCACGAGTGTACCCTTTCATCCCAAGAATATGTCCACGAGCTGCGTTCTGGCATCACCGAGGATAAGCTGCTTAATTGCCTGGAGTCCCTTAGAGTGTCTCTCACTAGCAATCCTGTCAGGTTAGTAATATAAGATTTTTCCCCACACTGTTAGCTGTGTCTTGAAATTTCCCCAACACTATAAAACAAGAGAGTGCTGCTCCAGTTATAATTACTATTATTATAACTAATTTGAGCTAAATACAAGTATAATATTCAGTTAAATATTAATTGTTAGGGGTATATTGAAACTGTCATGTAAATGGCATATTTCTGTTTTACTTTGGTGACACCAGTGCAAAGGACTCCTCATCGACATTGGATCCTATCAATTATTTACCATCCCAGTTGAAGAGATGTGTGCTAATGTGAATCAATGGATGGTGCATATAAAATTGTCACCATTCTATTTTTAGTAAGCTGGACCCTTTGATGCTGGATACTGAGCGATTACCTGCCAACATGATAACATTTATTACATTTTTGGCTCATGTAAATTACAGAAAGAATTATACTGTCTTTTCTCTTCTATAATTTATATATTAACCATTGAGTCGATCATACATTATATATAACATCCATAAGCTGTCCATATCAAAGCAAATTTGGAGTTGATCATGTTGTATGTTATTGCTCAAATTATGTGAGCTTTATCCAACAAATGCATGTTCCAGCTCTTCAGTAATTTGTGATTGGAGAGATGTAAAATGGTTCTGAGCTACGGGAAGTCAAGTCAGCCCCTCCACTCAGAAAGGTCACGAGTTGCTGTGGGATGTAAGTGAGGCCAGTGCTGCCCTGTGGGTGTTTGCAAATGGCTGAATCTTTGGCCAGCTGGTACAGCACCAGCGTTTTATTAGGGAGTCAACTCCATGGATGGCTTCATTCATCCTGGGAGAGGGCACCCATGGGTGGGCACTCTGGAGAGTGTGGGAGTGTGAGCTAACACCAGCCTCTGCTCATTTGTGTGTCTCTATCACCCCTCTCCAGGGAAAAGGCCTGATTATGTTCCTGTGGCATGGAGAAGGTTACTTCTAATTAATATGAATGCACTTAATTGTCATGGATCACATCACACAGGAAAACCACACTCGGTTTGCCGGGGTTCTGACTGTGCTATGTTAATGCAACCTTTTGTATGTTATCTTACACAGGGAAATAATCAGGAAGTTGAAGCAGTGCTGCTTTGTCTCATCTCACGGCTCACATGAGTCCTCTGGGGTTCAACTGTTGACATTTCAAAATGTAATGCTGCTTTAATTTTTCAGGAATCAGTAAATCTATTAATTAATGTTTGTAAGGTATGCACTGAAAATGAAAACACTGTAGATAACAGTCTAATCTCACAGGTTCTAGATAGTTACATTTGACAAAACGTTTTAAGCCTTTAAGTGGATCTTTAAATAATCCTCCTCATCTTAACAAAAGTCTCCCTGTCAGTGTGTAGTCATGCAGAGTGAGTGCTTAGCAGTGCTTTTGGAGTTGTGATGTTTGGGCAGCGGGCTAATGTGCTCCCAGCGGCCTGTGTTTGTCTAATAGTTTAATTGGCTGGGCTGCACCTGGCTGTGGCGCAGGTGGCCCGGGGCCAGTGCTCAGCGGGTCTTATCTCCCGGCAGTCCCACACAGGTGTGAGGCAGGTCCACCCACAGATGGCAGCGCCTGCAGCTTCGGCTCACTCTTCTCCACTTCTTTCTGTCCAAATTTCCCCAGTCAATTATTTATCCTCAACTTCATTTTCCCCTTTTTAATTTTGTCATTTGGAATGTCGCTTCTTAATTTCGAAGTGTCAGATTGAGTCGACACTTTTCATTAATTTCTCACTCTGACATTAAGTGAGATGCCAACTTACAGAAAATTAAACCCCTCTTATTTTCTCATTTACTGGGAGAACATCTAAGGCCTGTGCAGTTTAGCTTTGACACAAAAGCAGTAATGCATCTACTAAATCTCCATTCACTTGAGTGTCATTTACTCTCATTACAGCTAACATCCCTCTCTTTATTCAGCTGCCTTCTGTAGATATTCCAGTTTGTAAAAGCAGAGTACTTTCTGCAGCTGAGCACACTTGGCCACAGATCTTATATTCTCCAAGTTTATTCTGCCGTTATACACCAGGACTCCAAATCTCTCAAGTGCCTCTCATATATAGACCTGGCTGCTCTCCGATCGCTCTCACACTTTTAAATAAAACTGCACTGGACACCTAACTTTTCATTATCTTCACGGCTTCAGTCCGACAGGCTCCATGCAGGGTCTTATTCTATGTGGGATGTTGTAAAATGTGTTGAAGCCGGCCCCGTACATTCTCTGACAGTCGACTTTGGTTCTTTTTGTCTGGTCCAGCTGTAGCCCTTATGTTCTTGTGTTGCACCACGGCTCTCACCTGTTTTGCTGTTAAGTGCTTGTAGCTGAGCATGTGGGGCGCATGGAACAATATTAATGAGCTTTTTATGGTCTTTGAAGTTGCTACGCCTGCTGCTTGTCCTTTTGAATGTCTGTCCAAATGCACAGCGTGATAAAAGCGCCGAACAAAACAGTAGAAAGCACTCACAATTGTTTCTCTACACTGAGCAATGAGCATTACAGATCTGTTATTCGAGGCATTATTGACATAATTAAGCAAAATGAAATGGTGCAATTGCTGCAATTTCCACTTGCAGTATTTTGGAATTAGAAGTTAGATGTATGCTGAAATATTTTACATTTCACTATAAAGAACTGACCCGAAGAACTGAAACAAATTACTTGTTCTTTTACTGGAGCCTTACAGTTGTTGTCAGTACCTTTTGGCATGTCCATATGTCATAATTAAATTTAGGGACAAGATGCTAATCCCCCAGCACCCCATGCAAAGCATCAGCACCGGAGACAGGAGAGGAGAGCACCTTTGGGGACAGGCTCTTGTCCTTGTTCTGTTCCACGGACAGACTCTCAAAGTCATTTGTCCCACATACCATACCTCTGTACAAAGCATCCCTACAGCTGATAAAGGCAAGAGGATGGACTTCTATGTTATTATGTTTTATTGTTACACTTTTTCCATTTTTTTTTTTACTGTTTACTGTTGACCAAAATGTATTCTAAACTTTTGATTCATGAAAGTAGTCACTTTGGCAGATATAACAGCTGAACACATTCGTGGCATTCTTTTTACAATAGACATCAAATATTCTTCAGAAAGTCTGTTGTAGAAGTTCCCATAAATGTGTGACACTTGTAGATTGCTTGGCTTTCACTCTTCTATCCAGTTCATCCCAAACCAGCTCGATGGGGCTTAAGTCTGGAGACTGTGCTGGCCCCTCCCATGTTTTCAAGCTTACCATCTTGTTCTTATTTCCTTAAATAGTTTTGGCAGAGCTTGGACTTGTGTTTTGGTATCTTTTATCTTTTTTTTTTACTTCTGGCTCTTCAGTACCTACCTTGGTACCATTTCAAGCTATTCATTGGACTTGCACAACTTGAATTGCAATAAATAACTGGAAAAATTAGGGTTTTCTAAAACTGTTGGCCGATAGCATATCTATTAATCTATCTAATCTATCTATGAATCTATCTAATATATCTATCTGTCTATCTATCTACACTGTTACTATAAAACATCACAAATTAAATGCCATAACTTCCGGATATTGTTATTGGCAAATGTTGGTTATTAATTATAATAGGAAGATAAATTTTAAATATTGAAAAACAACAAAGTAATCCATATTCCTCAAAAGATCTTTTATGATTCTCTGGACCTTAACCTTAGGCATTTTATTGAGCTGCATAAAAAAGCTCCCGTTAACAAATAGTTTTACAATTATTCCAGTACAACCCAGTGATTAATGAATTTATGCAGATGGCGCATATGGCATATTCACAATTTGTTTCTTAGCAAAAAAAGTGATTGACTTGAAAAAAATGTTCCGTTGACAAGCTTGCAAACAACAGTCAAGATCGTCTCCTGCGCAGATTTTGGTGCCAAATTGCATCTCGTATCTGCGGGATCCTCTACAAAAAGGTGTCACTCTGTCCATATGCATACACTTTGCGGCATTAATTAGAATATGTAGAAAAGCGCTCTTTATTACAGACCTTCCTGGCATGTGATGAAGTCCTTATCTCTTCTGTCAGCTCTGTCAATTAAACAGATACTCCAAGGAACATATCCATCTGTGCTTATTTTTATGCCTCATTCTTCAACACTGTGTTAAAGCTTTGCATACCTCTATTAGGATTGTCAAAAGCATCGAGAATCAGATACAAATCAATACGAAAACAAGCATTAAAACTAGATACTGATTTGAGCAGGTATTGATACTAAAAAGGTCACATTCACAGGATAGAAATGAGCTTTTAAATGACCTTGAGAGGTATCAGAACAAGTGTCAAATTACATAATAAACACCCGTGGACCACTATGGACCTGAACAAGTAAGGGATTACACAGATATAAGACTACATGGTAAAATAAATGGAAGTACTATGATTTAATGTTGGAAATAACATTCTATAGTCTAAATAAAGAGTGTTTTTATTGTCATCATGGAATCGGTATTGAGTATCGAGTCTATTCCTTAGTATCAAAGTTTGAAATTTTAGGATTGTGACAGCGCTAACCTGTAACACAAGAATTCAAATATCGCCATGCTGATTTTTACCAGCACGGCCTATATAAGCCTACCTATTAGCACCTCCATTCCTCACAGGGCAACAAATTATAGGAAATTCTCGCAGCCTCCCAACTGTCTGAATCGCTATTTCATTTCATTCCATTACTAGGAGCGGTAATGGAAAAATGGCCATTTGATTTACTACCATGGCGTGCAAGATTTGACATCCTGCAGGTACAGATAGGAGGAAGCAGGAAAAGGTACAAGATGTCCAAAAACCTTAACCTGACAGGACCTTGAAATATATTGAGGATGTGGCTACAGTCAAAGTGGAGGTAATTTTTGCAAACTATAAATGGCTGGCGTGTATCTAAAATGGTAGAATCTAACGTGACATCCAGGTCGCTGCTCTGTCAATTGTCAAGGAGAAACGAAAGAGATGACCAAATTACATTGTCAAGATTAACGGTTTATGTTCTCAGTTGAAAGATATAAATTATACAGCTTACATGCATGTGTCATTACCACTTTGCACTATCAATCACCTCTAACAAAGCTTTATTTCACAGTTAAGCTTCACTATGTAACACCACTTGTTTGTCTCCATGGACATATTATTGCTTTGCCAAGAATTTTCCACTGTATGGCCATAAACACTGTATTTTCTTTCTCAAAAATACCTTAAAATCATTCATTCTTACACTAAGGGGAGACCAGTAAAAGGGGAGGCCAGTAAAGTTATGCAGTGCCCCTTTAATATGGTACAAATATTACGACTCCATCTTTACCAGAGCCGTACTGATTTGGGATTCACTGACTTCCTCGCCCTTAAAGACAGTGAAAACATTTTTGCACATATCAATGTCCTCCGTGTCGGGTATATTTTAAGACCTGTCTTTATTACAGTTTATGGTGCCATCTGTTCACCTCCAGGAAAACCACAGCTCTCATAGTCAGCGCCTTGGGACACAAAACTTAGAAGTGTTTTTAAAGACTTAATTGTGCAATATTCACACTGGTCAAGTAGAAAATCTATTTTTGTTTTTGCATTTACTATTTCAAATTGCTAGGACACACACGGGCCCGGGGATATGACAAAAACAAATGTGTTATGATTTTTCCCCCTTGTATTGATTAATCTTGACTTTTAATTTGATTTATCTGAAAAAAAAAAAAAATGGCCTTTGATATTAATTTCCTCAACATAAACAATACAGACTTTTAACTGTCTGAATTTTTCTCCAAAGCACATGTTTTTACTGTAGATCTATTGATTAAAAAGAGCCAAGCTTATCATTGACAATGAGAATCTACATTTCTAATCTCAGCCTATAACAGAGTATCAGTTGTGCATTTCCAATCACACGCCTGAACAGTTTGAATCATAATTTAATACCGCAAATGTTAGGAATAAACGTGTTGGAATAACTGTTAATGTGTTACACGCTAATAGCAAATTTTATGGTTACCTATGGATGCCTACTGCACTTTTTTGCTTTTTCTTTTGTCATTGACAGAAATTGAGTAAGTTTTTTGTAATGCATTTGCTTTCCAAGTCTGCTGATTATATATTGGTACTTTCCATAGACCTTCTTTTGTTAACAGTAACAAACTGCACCGCAATGAGTGCATTTAGTATATTGAAGATATGACATCAAGAAAAGTGCAGTTCTATTTTCTGCCATTGAATGCCATGGCTACTGAATTGATCAAAGTATAAAGTAGCGTTGTGTTTGTGGTAAGTCATTAGGGCGATGGAGGAGTGTTGGATTTCGGGCCCTGATGCCCAGTAAGCTTTGTCATACAACGCTCTGGAGCCACTGTTGACAGTTGTAAGTCTGTGAAATGCAATATGTAAGACTCATTTATGGATATTATTATCTACCATCTCAATACAATGTATTAATCCTATCCAGTTATTTTTTGTTGCTTTTTACTATACAAGATGCAATTGAATGAATAAATAATTTCACCCTGAAATCATGAATCACTATTTTAAGTTTAGGTGTGGGCAGTGTATCTTCAGTGAGAGCCTATTGCCTAGGGAAGATCTGCGCTACTTCTGGTTGTATCAGTTTTAGAACTTTGATTTTTTTTCACTGGGCTTCCATCGTGTTTTTGTGCCTTTAGCTATGTAGACTTAACATAAAGTGTGGGGTTGGAGAAAAATGTATTTGGTAAGTTTCTTTCACTATGGCAGAATGACAGCATTATGGATCTGTGAACAAGTTGTTTGCTAACATTTGTTAAGACTAAAACTACATTATGTTTGTGTTTATATACTTTTAATGAGTGTTTTCAGTAAACACAGTCTAGCAAAGCTGCTGACAGTAGTAGCATTTCGTGCATGTATTTCACAGCAGTTAGCATGACGACTGTATAATTGCATTAGCAGGCAGTAATAACACAAAATATAAAACATGAAACTGCCTTCCTCACACTGGCCATGAATTTTTCATTTTGCCTGCGGAATATACATGATTGCAGAAAGTAACACAATTTGGTGGCACTTAACCAGAGGATTATAGCCATCAATATTAGATGAACAAGTTCTCCCGCAAGTTAATGAAATCCTTGGATTCATGCCCACATTATGAGGAAGGACTAATCGAAGAGGATTTTTACATGTCACTCTTATGTTTGTAAAGTTTTGCCATATGGCTGATCTTTGGCAACTTAACCTTATATATATATCTGATGTCATCAACATTACCTGGGGATGTGAAGCTAACTGAAAGCACTATTCTGTTAGAAGCTCTATAATTCAAGTTAGACTTGATTTGAGTTTTATATTAACACAATCTGACTATAAAGAACTGACTTAATTGGTACTACAAAAGGTGAGCTGAATTGTACTGTTAAACACACAACGTCTCTCACATACAATTACAATCAGAAGCTAACTAGCATTAGCCAGAAGTGTTTTTGCCTTTACCTTTTTTTTTTTGAAAATCAAACATCTTAACAGGACCGTGAATGTTTGCATTGAAAATGTGTTAAAAATGTTGCTTTAAATCCACTTTGTATTTTACCTTGAGTTTTCAGACTACCTTAAAAGGTTTTGTCTGTGTTTGCTAATATGTGCATTGTATCACCATGGTGACTACTGAACATTCTGCGAATAGAGATACATGTAGAACACCCCCAGCATGATGTCACTGCAAGGTGTCAATAGTTTGTGATCCCCCACCACTTTGTTAAGGTCGTACAACTTTCTGCTGTTTTGTTTGGCTGTGTGATAAAGAACATTCCATCTCAGGAATATTAGTTCTTCCCACTCTCTAAAGACTTGTTGTCAATATTTAAATGCATAAACAATGTGTGACTTTGGCTTCACAGAATGATGCTCTCTCAGCCATGACGTTCTATTCTCTTCTGCATCACAAGTGCCTGATGTAGTTTAGATGGGCAAAATAAACTTCCTATATAGACATCAGCAAAAACAGCTTCGCATTTCTGAATTTTGAAATCTTGTTTTTGAAGAAATCTGAAAATACATGAAAGAGCATACATCACTTCTTTCCCAGTCTCACATAATACAATTTGAGCAATGGTTATAAAGTAGATTGTCGATGTACTAGTTAAATCATATCAATAAACATAAATGCCTTGCTCTTTTGCTCCGGGCTGAATGCAGCTCTAATTGAGGGTCTCTTCTGAGTGATGAAGTCAATACAAATGCCTTTAATACTGCGCACATTACGATTTAAGATGACTGTCTAGGAGGCTGCTAGATCATAAGCATATGACGGTCTAATGTTTGCAAATTGGCCTATCCATTTTGTATTATTGACAGTCGGTCGCTTGAAAAACAAGTAATGCTAATGACATAATGTGGCTGTGACCCCCCGCTAGCACTTTCTAGGCCTGGCTCAGACAAAAAGCCTCATCCGCACTGGATCATTTGCCGTCTCCCAATATGCCGTGGTTTATAGCCAATTATCTCTCTCGATCCTTTATTGATCACTGTGTTATCTTTCTTGCATTGCTTAATCTTTTGGCACCGGGAACATAGTGCCGCACGTAATGGGGAAGGGAGAGAGCGGAGGGGGGCAGGCGAAGAGCTCAGTGCACGGCTGCGCTGGTTAAGATGGATGGATGTTCATTTGCTTGTAAATGGGTACAGTTTAAATTTAAGTAGGCTCAATGTATTCAGCATTGTGGAGGGCAGAAGTGTTTTGCGATTTGCAGCGCTCATTGTTAGGATTAAAAAGCGCAAACAGTCCATTTATCCAAGTGAGTGCTGAACCCCGAGTGTTACTTTGAATGAGGAATTTCGACAAAAGTTATTATAAAGTAGTTAGCATATTGTTTATTTGCCAGCTCAAATGCAATATGTTCAGAGACTAAATTATTTGGCGTCTGTTTTCCAGCTGGGTGAACAACTTTGGTCATGAGGGGCTCGGTCTTCTTCTTGAAGCCCTGGAGAAGCTTTTGGACAAGAAACAGTAAGTTTAATGATATGAAGTGTTTTGTCTGTTGATGACTGTATGTTGTCGTTATTTGAATAATGGAAATCTGTTTTTATTTTTCAGGCAAGAACCAATAGATAAACGCAACCAACACAAACTGATCCAGTGCTTGAAGGCTTTCATGAACAATAAGGTTTGTATTAGGCAAATGTGCACTACTTCCTGCATTATTAATTTTCCTTTAGGGCTGCACAGCGCAATAAAACATTCCATACATAAAAAAATGGCTCCTTCAGTGCACTGGAATAGACCTCCATCACCTTTACTATCTAATTAGAAAATAATATTTAGGAATATATTGAAATTTGTGGAAAGTAAAACATGAATAAATAAACCTTAATACATTTAATGGCTGTGGTTACATGCAAATATAACATTTATAAGATTATTAAAATGACATATAAAGAGCAAAATCTATTTCTTTCTGATCATGGCCCCTCTGATTACCCACATCATATTTTGCTGTTTATATTTCATTTCATGTAATCTTAAAGGTCCAGAAATCAGATTTTGTGTGCATGTGAACAAGGCTAGTGATTGTTGAGTCAATCAGAGCATATATATATAACCTCACAAACATTCTGGTTGGATATGTCTTTTTATAGATGATAAAATCGGTTGAACGGATTCATGGTCACTTTATGGTAGACATAATGTTACTCAGGTCAGTTCCAGTGTTGATTGTGTTTGTGGTGGTTTATAAAAAAAATAAAAAAAAAACACTTTGAACCAAATATCAATACAAATTTACGACTCATTTCTAAATCAAATATTTGCTTTTAAAAGAGGGTTATGTTCAAAAGATTCAAAAAATCACAGCTTCTTTTCATGCTCAGTTGTACCTCGACTGACCATAGCTCATTTGAATCAGGTACAGACAGCACTACTATAATGGGACATTAAATGGAAGCTAATTTTACCATTTCATGCCCACTGCCTCAGATCTTTTAATTATCTTTTTGGGGGTAAGTCTGGCTCATTTTTCAAAAGTAGCACACATTTCAAAGACAGATAAGAGCTTGATGTTGGTGCCCTGAGATAATCCCTACATGTGGTCATTTCCTCTTTTTCCCTTTCACTTAGACTAAAAGGTACAGACACACATAAGTATTCATCCCAGCAGTCCTGTCCCCAATTGAAATAATTCATCATTCTCTCTCTATTTTCTCTTATGGCCTTGTTTTCCCTTTCTAAAAAGCAAATTAAGGCTAACTATACCGTACCTGGCTTCAGAGCTTTATTAGTCTGTCTCTTTTCTCTTTGCAGTATGGGCTGCAAAGGATCCTGGGAGATGAGCGCAGTCTGCTGCTGCTGGCCCGAGCCATTGACCCCAAACAGACTAACATGATGACCGAGATAGTAAAAATCCTGTCTGCGTTCTGTATCATCGGAGAGGAGAATATGTAAGTTCAATCACTGCATGTTCAAATCTGTCTGGGTTTTGCATTTGATGATCATCTTGGGAATTAAACAAAGGACCTCACTTTTAAATCAGTACAAAAAGAAAAAAAAAGATTTAATCATGACTAAATTTAAAAATATGAAACTAATTGATTTTAAACAGGTTGCAGTGGCCCAAAATAATTTTGCACTTTTCCAGTTTCCTAATTATTCATTGCGCTTTTCACAATTTTCAGAGACCAGAACAGAGTTTTGCCATCATGACAATCTTTACAACAACTAACACGCTAACAGTGCTTCAGCTTTTGTTTACTGGTTTGCAAATTACACTCTTTAATTGCTAGCAGCCTAGGCAGCACATTGTGATGCAAGAGACCCTGTTACAATATATGATCTGAACTGGGGCGAGACAATATTTACCACATTACATTTAAAAACATGGTACAGCTCCTTTAAGGAATTGTTTCTACTATTATAACTATAGACAAATGGATAGAGTTTTTCATATTCAAATACACGTCACCAAGACAAATTATCTGTGTTTTGCAGCTCAGATTAAAAGTTAGATTGTTTACTGCCATGAAAGTTCAAATGACAACCACTGATACTGCTGCTGGCAAACACGCTATTGGAGCCCCAATTTAGTTCCAAAAGGCCAAAGAAATGATGGAAAGCTCTGATGTGTCTGCTCTCCGCTTAATGTTGCACAATGTTGTGTCGCGGTATGGGGGATAAGAGACCGCTGCTTTGTGTAAACACTAGAATCTCAGCCTCCTCCCACTGTGCAGCATGTGTTATCCGGGAGCCCACACCGCATGCTCACACTGTCCCTACTGCGAACATACGGACTACAGGTGACACCCAGTACTATAGGAATCTGACAGTTCACACAATGGACTTTAGCAGGTTTAATGCACCGGACGAGCCCAGCGTAGTTTGCCGCTGACACACCGACGGCCTGACAGCTTATAAATTGGATTTAGGGGAGTGTTTTTATTGTTTCCCACAAGGCCGGAGTAGAATAACAATGGCACTTCAAAGACAGTCCGTATGCAATGTTGGAAATAAACAAAGCTGGTGGCTGTGGCGGAGGAGCGGAGTGCAGCGGTGCGCCTCACATCTTTGACCATCTAAATAGGCCTTTATGGTTGTTGTTCTGCCCCTTGCTGTGACAGGCCATGCTTTCTAAAATCATTTTCCAGTTTCTGAATATCAAGCAGTGCAAATTATACAGTGGAATTATTCAATATATGCCCACAACAATTTAATGCACCCTTTTCAAAAGAAGATAAAACATGTGGTTGCATCTATTATAATATGATTTATAATTCAATAGCTGGTGGCATTCTGAACCTCCCATAATCGAAATGTCGTGGTTACCAAATATATATATATATATATATATATATAGAAGCTTTCTCTTTCCAGCGTACATTTGTGAAAATAGTGAGTAGTGATGTAAAGAGCACACACTCAATTTGAGCACACTCCCATATATTGACATAATCAATAACTAGCTTGCCATTTACAGGATTGGTTTGCATTATGTAGCATTATTAAGTAGTAGATTTCTCTTTTATTACTACATAGCAAGATTCACTGATAACATTGCCTTCAGTGCGACTCATAATTTATGCAGAATACACAAAATGTTGTTTATCAGTTGCTCGCTGCTATTTTAAGTGCCCCTGTCACTTTCACTCGCATTACCAAAGAGTGGAGTTGAAGCAGACATGAGCATCTTTTACATGATCACAGGCTTCCATTAAAATATACATTTCCTTTAAAAAAAGAATAAGAAAACAGGGCCACTAAAACTTCTTAGGTGTCACTTGCGCAGCTCTGAAATGCCTTTGGTGTTTGACGTTGTGTTGCTAGCTCGTGTTCTGTACCCACTTCACTTGACAGGATCAAAAGGCAACGCGACAACTTAAGCAGATCTATCTGAGCTCGTTTGAAGCCTCGCCTGAACTGCCTTTAAAGCTGCTCTTTAAAACTCCTGTGTTGTTTGTGACTCTTACCTCTATCACACCACCTGGACACTGCATACATACCAGCCAGCCACATGCACTGTTAGACCACATACATGACTTTGAGAATGCATGTCTCATTGTTATTCACATTATTATGAAACTGGAGCACCCAGTGGAAACACATTGAACTATTGTGACGTATTCATCTTCCTGTTTAAAGGAGACTCTTTTGGAAGACTTTTGTTTATTCAAAGGATTTAATATTTATATTTTGTTCTGAATTGTTGTTACTGACAATAGAGCAACAATATCATCAGCAATATCATCACTCTGCAACCCATCGATATGTCCAGTTAATTCAGTTTGGCATTTAATTAACCAATTGTATTTGTTATTGTGCATTGTTTTTAAGTCTCCTACTACTGACAAGATAGCTAAAGTTAAAATGATTGCTTTATGGAGGGGAGAACCTGCACACATAGAATTATTGTTGACCGACAGTAAGAATATTTTCCGTCTGCCATGGCTCTATTTACATCCATTTACTGTCTAAAAGCTAAAATCTTTTTACTTTCATTGCCTTGAGCTGTTATTCAACTCTCATTTGTTAACATCACAATAGTTTTGTTTGGACATTAATCCATCAGCCCTGATAATAATCTGCAGGCTTTCTTCCCTCCAAACCATCTCTCCTCTGACTCAGAAGCCATTTGGAAAAAAAAAATAAAAAAAAACGGGAAAAAAAAAACAAAACAGTTTTTGTCTAGCTAGCATTACCTTAGTGACAAGCTCTATTAAGTCAATTTGGATGCAGGGGCAATAATAGAGGCGACTGCATACAAAGAGATGTGGAGCGTATTTGTCAGTGCGGCCATGGACTGGCAGACAAAGTGCCCACAGTGGCTCAATGGCAGAGGAGATGCGTGTTATTTGGGCTAAAAGTTGGGAGTAAATGTCCTCTTGGCTGGGTGATAAAACTGTTTGTTGACAGTTGTGTTTGTCCACTCTATGTGTTCTTTCAGCTTGGATAAGATTCTTGCTGCCATGACCATTGCTGCAGAGAGGAACAATAAAGAGAGATTTGCCTCCATTGTGGAAGGACTGGAAAACCATGAGGCCCAGCAGCTTCAGGTGAGAAATTACAATCCAGTCACACTGCTGAATTTGTATGTATTTGTATGCATACTTATTGTGTGTGCACTACTCCCATCACATTAAAGTATCTCTCAAGGGGAATGTGTCAGCTCAATCTTAACCACTCTATGGTTTGTCCCTACACACCCATACCTTCCTTAATAGATTTGTTGAAATTATAGTGTGTCCACAACTGGTATCATAAATCTATAAAGCTGTTTCCCATTGGTATCACAAACCAGAGAAAATAACCATGCTGAAAAAGTAGAACTAATCCATTGCCAATATAATACAAGACTAAGATGGCTAAGATTGCTTCTCAGAATCCCAGATCACTGATGTGGTTGTAAAAATACATCACATTGATTTCTTTTGGTGCAACAATTCAGACATAAGCAAAAGGACAGCTCAATGTAATAATCTGTACTTATTTTTTATTTTTAATAAAAGCGCAGTATCACTTTTTTTTTCCCAAAACATAGATTAAAATAAAAACAAGTTGTCGTAGTTGTTTTTTAAATGCTTGTTCTAAAAACTTGTAAAACATGCATGCTTTCTTTGAGTGCCTCTCCACAAACCTGACTCTTATTTAGCCTGGAGGAGGGCATTCATCTCCTTGTTTCCATGGAAATGCTGTACCTTTGGCTATAATCTTCCTCAGTAAATGGTCACATTTTTACATAGAGCTTTTGAAGTTACTCAAAGCTCTTCAAATCAAGAAGCCACTTACTCATTCACACACCAGTGAGGTGAGTTAAGTGTCTTGCCCAAGGACACAACAGCATTCATCTGTGGGAGCTGCAATCGCACCAACCTTCAGACCTTCAGAGGTCAAACATCCTACCAACTATGCTACTGTCGCTCGGTTTAAACTTTCTATTTCCATGGATTCATGCAGGTGACATGCCACCTCCACAAAGTTACAAATTGTACCATTAAATATTTCAAGCATCATGAGTGTTATTACATTTCCAAACGTGTGGTTACTATCACAGAATGATGCTTGTTATTTTTTGAAAATAGCCACTTCTCTAAACAAACTGTACAAAGTTGTTTTAGAGAGCTTTCAGAAGTTTCAAAAAAGAAAAAGAAAAAAAAAAAGAAGAAGAAAAAATAGATGTTGCTAATTATATGCCTATTAGTACTGATGCGGACATGGCCTAATTGGAAGCATTGTCAGTAGTACGTATTTAAGCCAGCTCCTCTACTGCACAAATGTTCACACTATAAATCAAAGTCGAATTGTTTGTCAGGCACAATGGATGGAAACCTGCCCACGATCCTCCAGCACTTACCCAGAATTCCGTAATTTCATAAAGCACAGTTTGATTCCAAGGAAAATTAGTATTGGCACTGCGCGGCCCATTGTCACTCTCACTCGGCTGTCTATGGCTTTGTTTTCCCTTTGCTTTTCTTCTGCTCTTTTGCTTCCTCTTTTTCCTGTACCCCACAATCCCTCTTCCGCCGGGCGGGTTTACGATTGCCGCGTGTTTGAAATGCACCCATGGTTTTCATCTTTACCGGTTTAATCAAAAAAACACCTGGTTCTTCTTCCCATTGAGAACACTTGAGCAATGATAATAAGAGATTGCGAGATGTTGATGTCCTCTAAGCTTTTTGTCCTTTTTTGTAACTCTTTCTTTACTTTTTTTTTTTTTTTTTACAAACTCCATTCCCTTTTTTCCTTCTGTGCGGCTGTCAAGTTTGGTCCCAGAGGAGTTCGTGTGAAAGGCCAGCCTAAGCACTGTACCTTCCCTTATTCAACAAGATTCTTCTCAAGTGGAGGAAAAAAAAAAAAAACTAGACTTTGCCCTCAAAACACCACTTAAACATGTTTTTGTGAAGGAAATTACTTTAGGAATTGCTTTTTTAACTAGTGGGGAAGTAAGTTGTGAAAGGAACTGATGAGGCGAGCGTGGAACCGGAAAGTGCCGTAGATATACTTTTATTTGGAGGCACTTCTTTCTCCTTTTTGCCCTTAATGAAATGAAGAGCTGCTAATTGTGAACTAAATGAAAACATGTTGCTAGTGCAGGAGATGGAGTAAATTAATGGACTTTTTACCCAAAAAACAGGCAATGCGATTCTTAAAGAGGTATTACACAAAATGTGCTTTATGGAGCTTTTTACCATATTATATATATATATATATATTATGTCTCCTCATAAAAAGATAAACATGCCTGAAGAGGTTTTAAATGTCATCTACACATATTTGAGTAATTTAGCGATCTATCATGGGCACTATTTTACCCCTCCTCTTGGTGCAAAAATCTCTAGCACCCATACTCTCGTGCAGTAATTTTCAGCAAATATAGCATTTTCAAAACAATAAAATGTAACATGGCGATCTATCTGTATTATGTGTAAACAAATAATATAACATAGAAGAGTTAAACCCCCTTTTTAATGTGATGAAAATATTGTATGGTGGTCTGGGTGATGCGATTTCAAATCTGTCTCAGCAGTGCCACTTTTAATTACAACATTTAAGCTATAGCACCATAGAAAGCTCTATGTAATCCCATAAAATAGACTATACCCTGTTGAGAGCACTCCTATACACTGAGGTGCGTTTGATGTAGACATCAATCTAAACTATATGCAGTAGAACAAACAGAATTTTTCATGAACACCACTGTATCACCACTCCCATAAATCCAATGAAGACATAGGGGATTCCTTTATGTAGCCACTGTTTACGTAACGCTCTTGTGGGTACCATAAAATGTTTAGGGTTTTGCTTGAAGAAATTTAGTCTTTTGCAACATGGAGAACTTAGTGGCTAGAAATAGTGGTTGTGACGTGTTCACTGCTGCTAGGCTCCCCAGGAGAATATGTCCTACTTTTGAATGGAAAGCTTGCTAGTGCACTTGCTCTGCTCTTAAAATGCCTCCCCAAATACATTTTTATTATGCATTTTACCATAAAGCTCAAAAAAGCAACATCATGATCATATTTTATTAAGACATTTTGTACATTTGCATATTGGGAAACTGCTTTAGTGTCAGACTTCCAAACTCGACCCAAACCATTCACAATAGCTCTGGAGAGGGGTCTCCACTGCTCCTGACACATTGCCCCAGCGGCATTGAAGGATGGGTCAAATGCAGAGGATACATTTCTTTATGGGGACAATTAATGGTATGCCTTAAGCTCCATCTAGATTTTGAATTAAGGAGCCAAAACCAAATAATGTATCAACAATTCTAGCACTCATTGCAACATAATCAAGCTTCTGCATAGACACTACATTTTGACACATTACATCATGCTTGACTAATATATTGTAGAAAAATAAGGCTATCTCACAATGCGCAGCACCAGGAATATTGTGGCTCTTACAAATAACCCACACAATCCAATAGCAGAGGGTCAAGGTTTGCACATGGTCCATGGGAATCCCTCAGCTTGCTATCGATTGTCTGTCAAAGGAAAAGTGTCTCATCCACACTGTGCTCCCTAGAAACACCTTACACCTCATTATAATTCATCAGCGATTTCCTCTATCAGTACACACACACAATCACACAACCACCAACACACATGTAAGCTGTTGTCTTACCAGTAAATCCATCTATAATGCACAACAGGCATTTATTGTAGTATTTCTAATCAATCGTAATTGCTTTTGTCTCTACCATTGATTTCATAATACATAATTGACTTCGAGTCTTACTGTTGTGATGTTTGTCTAACATTTCTAGTCTTCTTCCACTGTCTGTTGACACCGCAGGTCGCCTGTATGCAGCTGATCAATGCCCTGGTCACTTCCCCTGATGACCTCGACTTCCGGATACACTTACGGAATGAGTTCCTAAGATGTGGTCTCAAGAAGATCCTGCCGGTGAGTTCACAGAGTATCAGACACACAAGTCTTTAAAATCCTCATGTTTAATGACCAAAGAAATACCTAAATTCTCTATGTCAGAGTTGGGAAATTATTTTTTTCATGGGGCCACATGAGAAACAGAAAATACTGTGAAGGGGCAACATGCTTAACTCAGTTCCTCATAATATTAATTGTATTTCTTTATAAAGCAGTAAAAGCAGTAAATAGCATTGTTTTGACAAGCTGGTAAGACTGGTAAGAATATATGTTATGACTAAGCAATGAAAATGTGAGGTTGCCTTATAAAAAATGTAATTTAAAAAACTAACACCTCTAAAATAAAAGCAATGCATCTTTAGTCCATGCATGAGGTAAAATTATAAAATATGTTTATTTCGTGATTCCTAATTAGCTTAAACAGGCCGGACGCAGTCAACCTAAGGGCGTATGTGGCCCAGAAGCTGGACAATGCCCAGGTCTGCTCTATGTTATGAATAGCACTTAAAATCTAATCAAGATTTGTAATTGTCAACAATATGCTGCCTACAGCCAGTCAGCAAAAGCATTTTGTTGGGAGCATAATTTTAGACTTTGGAGAATTGATTTTTACATATTTTTGGTGTTAAATGGCGCTAATTAAAAATCTGTATGGTTTATATTCAGGAAAATAATATTGCAAGTTAAAGTTTACTTTTGTTTTTCTAAAATCTATTATTTTCTATAACTATAAACAGTGTAATGATCCTCTGATACTATTTGTAAAGTGGGAAAAATCAATGCCCTATAATTACTATTAGAATAAGCTGTGAAAGATGTCACAGGGTTTTGTTCCTCACTCATGAGACAATAAATATGCCTTTAACTTATTATTATGAACATTCAAGTCTTTCATGAGTTAAGTAGTGAACACTCAGATCCTTCACTGGGTTATAGTATCATCTTACTTCTGAGATCACAATGTAATAGTAACAAACATCCATCACCAGCTGACTGTTGTTTCTTTGCTTCTCCTTAAGGAATAACAGTAGTAGCACTCACTTGTCAAGTACTGTCAAATATGCAGGTGTTTTATGTCACAGTTGCACAGGTTCTTGTGGGATCATTAGCAGTGCAGTGACACTTCTTCACAGGGGGAGCTCTGACTCATCAGTCAGCCCCTCATTTGCAGCAAAAGGGCCGAACGTGTCACCAAGCCACTTGTTAATAAGTCATCCCATCTGCTCCTGTTGATTATTACCGCCATTACTTTAATTAGCTTCAAATCTGCCCGCTCTAGTATAGGTCTGTCATTTATAAATGTTCAAAGTGACACCTTTTCATCAAATACCGCTCCCTCGTCAGCGTAGCCAAAGATAAACTCAACTTTGGATGATGCATTTGGCTGGCTATGCTCACACCGTGGCCTTTTCTTCATGTTGTGGCATAGAGGCACCTCCCTTTCTAGCCGGGGTTGCTCAAGACAGATGGTATGACCAAAAAAACGGCCGTGGGTGATTGATACCTGCAGAAATTGGGTTACATTTGGCCCTGTCTCCATCTGTAAAGCGCTCCTCTGGTGATTCATCGAGCGCTGGTAAAGAGCACTGCCGGAGCCCCTTGTGGCGGAACAGGTGTGCAGAAATTGGTACTGTCTGGGATGCCTGCAGAGAGGTTTCACCGTGTCTCACATTCCCCAGTTTTCAGGACAGCTGCAAAAGGGACTACATCCTGCCCCGGACAGTTGACCTGTAAGAAAAAGAGGACGATGATGAGGCTTTTAATCATCATTGTTAATTATATTTATGAATTGAAATACTCATACACTTTTCCTTATGTATGAGTACATGTTGTAAATTTGGAACACTAGATTAGCATTTATCATATATAGAAAACATATGCTTAGAAAAATCAACCCTAGGACTTTATGTAAATTATATGGTGCAGGGTAAAAAACATGCTTTGAAAATAATTGGTATGTCTATGCAACACTGCACAAAACCATTCACAAGGCTATGCATGTTAAAATAACTGTATTTTAATTAATTAAGTGAATATCTGTATGTGCTTATCTGCCATTATTATACATTATTATAAATGTGTAAGTGTATGTTTCCATGAGGACTGTATAGCTATAAGACACAATCTAAACTGTGTTGCCCCATTCTAAATCACTCTGCAAATGATGTGTTTGTTGGTCGTAGGAGCTGAAAGAGACCGAGGAACTGGACATTCAGCTGAAGGTTTTCAATGAAAACAAGGAGGAGGACTCTATCGAACTCTCTCACCGGCTCGATGACATCCGTGCTGAAATGGAATATCCTTTTGTCCCCTCACAGAATGAATAAACACAGAGGAGACCTGCGGTTCTACTATTGAGTATGGATGAGTGTATATATTGTGAGTTTGGCCAAGGCTTTGCACACTAAGCTGCTCATCACTTGGTTCATTAGTGGAGGATTTGAAGTCTCAGAGCGCATTATCGAACCTCATCTCTGGCCATGTCTCTGTAGGTGAAATCAGTCATCATAACGTCCCACATACCCATTCCTACTCATACAGGTGTTATGTTTTCTCTTCTATGTAAGTAGCACTGTTGTAAAAGTAGTTATGGATAATATATGAAAAGCATTACTTGGCCAGCCAGAACCACGCGCTTTGACAAAACTTTACAAAGACAAGTGGATCTGGAAAACCCATGGAGTGTGACAGCTGGAGGTTTCTTAGTTTTTACTATTTTATTACTTCCTTAGTTTTTGGCAAGATCCTAATGATTTTGGGAGATTCTTCCAGTACTATGCCACACCCCCTTTTATTCACTTAATCAGTGCACAGGACAGTGCAGTTGACCAATTCCTTTAGTCAGCTATTGCTTTGTAATATTTGCTCATTTGTAAACTATATCTAGTGCCTTAATCTGGTAAATTTAGGGTAAATGAGATGCATATGATACTGAACACATTGACATATTTGCTTTTGAAAAAAAAAAAAAAAAGAACTGTCATATTAAATGATCTGTTCCTTGGTAGTAAAATGCACATTCACTTGGCAAACTATATTTCATGGAGATACCCTTCCTTTCTATTTATCATACCAGCAAAAGACTACAATTTTCAGTACTATTTATTTCAGAAAACTTTCTTAACTTTGATACATGTGTGTCTTTATTGTCCCACTATTTGCATGAACTACAATTGTATAGTGAGTCAAAAGCATATTTCCAAACACTGATAGTCTCCCAGCTCCACTGCACTTCCTTCTCTTCTAGCACTTACCATGAACAGCGGCCTATTAAATGAATTTATGTGCAGTCATTTTTATGTTATACGGCCTCCGCTAATTAACTATTACGACTCACAGTGTTACTTACTATTCCTTCAGACAGGTTGAATTCTCTCCTCCAGCCCCTTGTCCATTCAGCTCCAAATATGCCGAGTCGCAGTTAATAAGGTTCAAAGTAATTGAGTCCAAAGTTGGGGGGAACTTTGCGGTGCGTCCTGGAGTTGGAGCGTTTAATAATTCACAATTCTTCTCCGGGGCTATGCGCGATCGGCTGACACTGGGAGCAGTCCTACCAGAGGCTCACATTGTTATGCAGATGTTCGTTCCCCATAACTCTCTTCTGTTTTTTTTTCCTCCATCATATCCCACAGTTCTTGAGCAAAAGTGGCGCAGTGAGTGACAGTTTGTGTTGACACATGTAGGTGAGGAACAGGAGGTTATCGGTGTGTGTGTCTGTGTGTGTGAGTGTGTGTGTGTGTGTGTGTGTGTGTGTGTGTGTGGGGAGGGAGGGAGGGAGGGAGGAAGAGTGGTGAGAGAAAGAGGAGAGAAGAAAAAAACTCAATCTGGATTAATGATGTGCTTGAACAGGTTCACAAATGAGACGGTCTGATGTTTGTTTCCAAGGGCAAAGCAGTATTGATCAAAGAGCATGATTTGAATGTCCAGTCTAAACCATTTATTTTGGCAGATGGGGGCCCTAAAACTGCAAACTAAGGGTGCGCTCACACTTATCCTTATTTGGACCTGATTTGAGCCCATTTTTGCCCTGATGCGGAGTATTTGGCCTAGTTCTGGTCCCTGTGTTGTCCTGGTCTAGTACAGGTTTGGTTTCAGGTTTAGTCCTAGTAGTATTTGTAAGTGGTGATGTACTAAAAACTATACAGTTCTTCTAAATTTTTTTTTTTATTTAGTCTCTTCCCTCCCTTGTGGGTTGATATTGTGATTCTTCAGGTTAAAATATGATTTTAACAACTAGAAAATAAAAAGCAAAATTAAGAAATTTCAATCTAAAATGTATCTATTCTCCAAATCAAAAAAACACAGTCTTGTATCTAGCAGTTTTTGTTATATAATATTTAACTTTAATCAACTAGAAAGAATAACAGAAAGTTTTATTTAAACTGGTCACATGTTGGAGAATGTGTTACTTGTAAATAATCATACAATTGTGATGTACCACAAACATTTGTTAGCATGACATCTCTGTTGGTCTTTGTGGTGCAGACATTTGTTTCTGTTTTGACTTTTCTTGGCTGGAATTTTCTTTCTGTGAGATATTCCTTTAGCCAAGGGCCCATAAAAAATATTGTTTCAGATTCAACAACCAAACAATTTTTTTTATTTTTTTTTATTTGTCCCTCTCTTACAAACATAACCAAAACATGACAGTGCATGTTTTGAGTTATTTTGCTAACAGACTACACCCACAAATAACCCACAGTGGTGACAGCATACGCATTTCTCTAAAGGTAATATAAAGACTCTTGGGAAAATATCTATTTCTAAACACGTCCTATAGCCTTAAACAATGTGTGTATCCTCTTAGCCCCCAAAACCACCTGCGCATTGCCTTTGTGCCTTGTTTCAAGTTCATAAATATTAACCTGGAGTTGCGCTTCTCCTCTGTGTCCAGTCCGTGGTCCATGTGCTGGGGAGGCGACTCCGGGCCACTGATACATATTAATGGACTGTGCAATGGTGATTGATTGAGCCCACCGCTGACTGGCCTACATCATACTCTACTGCCACTCATGTTTATTCATTATTTGGAGAGAGAGAGAAACTCCGAGACAACCAAGGGAGGGAAAGGAAGAGAGAGAGAGAGAGAGAGAGAGGGAGAGAGGGAGGGGATGTCATCGTGCGGATTGGCATTCCACATTAGGTCCATGTCTGCAGCTTAGTGATAGATGGAGCTCGTTGGACACTTTCCCAGTCTGCGCGCCTTCTCATGTCCTCTCAAATGCTTCTGTGGTGAGGCTATAATTGAATCTCGTAGGATTGGTTATTCTCCCAGGCTTCACACTTGGCTAATACAGGAGGAGGGAAATGATACGTTAGAGAAAGCATGTATTCCCCAGCCCTCGCTCAGCTCTCGAAATTTGATATGGGATAGGAGTTTAATTACAGACATTGTTGGAATTAATAGGAAAAGTGTCAAACAGTATTTAAAAGAATTGATCGTCTCAAATTGCAGCGGCTGCAGATTGTTTGGAGTGGACGAGGAGTGGAGGAAAGGGAAAGGGAGTTAGGCAGAGGATTCTTTTATTCAGGAAATTAAATGAATTACAATATAAGAGTTATTGACGTTTCTGCACAAAGCAGGTATTAATTCCTTATTGATGGAAATAGACAAATTACGTTAGGACCCAAATTATAATCAATAAACGGCTTAACCTTGTTTGTATGTTAACCACAAGCAGTATTACAAATAGAATAAGGGCATGGCATACAGAAACAGCAGTTTCATTCATCGTTTTGTTCTATTTAGTGGCTGGAATTAAATATAATATAATAAATACATGGATTAGGCTGCAATTTTCAGACTTGAGTAATATATTTTACAATGTAGCAGTACTTAAGTAAAGGTTTTGGTTACTCTTTCCACTTTGAAAATATCTACAAAAGATTTATGTTGACAGTACTAAAAGGTTTCAACATTTGTGATTGATGGATTGTCTTTCCAGTTACACTAGCTAAACATTATATATCAGATATTTAGACATTCACTTGAGTAGTAGTTTCCCGAAATACTATTTACTTAGTGTTTTTTTTATTTTTATGACTCAATAGTTTCTACTTTTACTTAAGTAATATTATTTTAAAGTAATAATACTCTCACTTAGGTATTTTTTTTGTTACTCTACCCACCTTTGAACATTCTTTCTATCTTTCTATTTCATACAGGTCCCCAGTATCTACAGACTGACGAGTGCCATTTATCACTTCCTAGTTTAAAGGCAATTATATATTAATTGTCATTCATCTTCTTCAGTCCAACAACTCACATGTCTCCGTAGTTTCCTTTCTAGCTCACATTTGAAAGGTTTCTTCCATAATGAGACTCCATAGAGAAATTCCCCTTTTATATAGAGATTAAAAAAGAAACTGATCTCTATTTACTCTTGTTTTAACCTCTTTGATTCTGTGAGCATACTGTAGTTGCTGGAAGGGTAAAAATAACTCGCCAGTTGTCACATGTGGTTTATGTCTGCAGAATGACAAGTAAGATAGTACTTATTATTATTTCAGTTTTAACCATCAACGCCATCTTTCTGTCCTCTTGGGGAAATCATGACACATAATCAATACCTTTTGCAAATTTAATAATGCGAATCTTCCCTTCTACATGTGGGTCAGTTTCAATTACAGTTGGGAACACAGGTAACATTTCTTATCCACTGCTTTTTATTCTCACCTTAAATCTTCAAACTACTGAGCTACTCGTGTAATTAATTTCCTGTATCTTGGAAAAGGCGCAGACTGACAGGTAAACCGCAGGGACTGTTCTTTATTGCCAATACACCTCCTCTTGTGAGGTGTTTACTGTGCGCTATGTTCCCCCGGAGAAAACGGATAAGACAAGTCACATCGCTTGTTTGCTTTGTACGCTGATGGCTGTCAGAAAAAAAAAAGAGGTTAGGAACTGGGGAAATGAACTAGTTTCAAAGCCTCGACTAATGAAGATACAAATGTCTTAATGTGAGTATTGTATTAAAAAAGTATTATTGCTATTCTTATGCTGTTCTGTTGCTTTCCTTAATTCGGCCTCCTCACTGATATGGATGAGGTGTACCATCTCCTGTCCAACATGGTCAAAGACACGGGCTCAGAAACATACTTCCTATCCATTCTACAGCATCTGCTACTCATCAGGAATGACTATTACATCAGGTAAGTTCAAACACCAAAGCAGTTTTCTGTCTGTTATTTTTGCATTTTCATGCAAAAATGCTAAATTCTCTGAAGTTTTTGTTAAGATACTTTACTGTGTAATTTAGCCCAAATGAAAGACATCTGGTAAATCTCACAATGCAAATGATAAGCGGTGGTTCTTTTTCTTTCTGATATTGCCAATGCAAATTCCTACTTTGTGGATTTTGTTATGTTTTCATAATGGCAATAAAACTTTTCCAGTTCTGATTCTTACCAATGTGAAGCTTTTGTGTTGTCTATATAAATGAAGTATTTTATCTGATGGAAACCATTTGCTTCTGAATAGCTTTGTTGTGACCAACGTACTAACCTGCTTTCTTGCAGTTTCTACAAGAAGGTATCAATGTATGAATCCATTACTAATATTAAAATATAACAAATAATATATAATAAATAAAAAAGCAATCCAGTTTACTGTGAAAAATAAAGTTTGAAAAAGTAAACTTTAATTGCATATAAGTGCAGGCACTATCGAGTAAATATACAACCTGTCCACCGCCTATATAATGAACAATTGCCAGAATAATAGGTTGGCCTTTTTACTTTGCGTCTGAAGAGCAAATCTGTCAGTCACTGGGCAGAAATGCAGCCACTTCTGTGAATGGAGTGACACTGATGAATCTACTGCTGTGTCAGACCTTTTTGCAGAAATAAGACATAAAAAGAAAGTTAGAAGACGGAGGGAGGATGAGAGCAGGAAGATGAATTTACCATAGACAAGTTGCTGTACCCTTGGAGTTATGAATAATGTATTGCTCATCTATTCGGGGGAAGTGAGAAATAGAATTCGCATTAACCAGCCACTACAGGCACATCCACCCCAACTCCGCTGTCCGTGTACCCCGCTGTAAGCCAGCCATATGAGGGATCAGGCCTCATAAAAAATGGGCTTCTTTAAAGGATATGTTTTTGAAATACATTTTTCTTTGCCATCATCGTAAATGCACAGAGAAGGCAGCACATGTGCACACCCAAACATTAACCCCAGAAATGCTGTCTAAGTGAAGCTCTTTATTTCCCATACATCACTGCTCCGTGCTCTGTGGGGAGGAGAGGTGCTGTACGGCACTAGATACAGTGCATGCAGCTGATCCTAATGCTTACCATCTATCTTTAAGTGAAGGCTTGGCTCTCATAGGTTTCATGTCTTCTAGCATGTAGCCTTTAAGTTGTGTAATGCTAAAAAGTTTTAATAGCCACTAGACTAGAACCACCACAACACAGTTCAGTTTTTTGCATGACTTTCCGGGTGCACTATGTACGTTTTCTGTTTGTGTTCATGCAGATGATATTTCTTTGCAATGTGCCAAAGTGTGACATTAAGCTTATCTATCTCCATGGAGACAGGCAGATAGCACCACCATGCAAATTTACTTGCATTCAGATGTGTAAAGAGGCATCCCTGCACACAGTAAGAATGCAGTGTTTTTGAGCAATTACCAGTTTAGCAGCTAAATAAATGCAAGATGGATACTTCAATGTCAGATCGTACCAAAGCAATTACCTCTCCATTCTAGAGAGTGACGTACACACCACCAAAAAGGATACATATTGCACCTTTAATATTATTCCTTTACTATGTTTGTACTATGTTTTTTTGTTTTTTTTAATAGACCACCATGTTCTGCAAATACATATCCTCTTTGATGGGAACTATATGTTGCCAATAGCCAGTAGACAAAAGTGATGGCGCGCTCAAAAGCATGTTTATTTCATGCTGTTTTCTTGTTGCTTAGCCAATATAGGATAAGGTTGGCAGTTGTGTAATGAGAAAAGTGTGTTTGAAAAGATAGCATTTGAATAGGCAGGTTGAAGGAGTAGTATGTCATTTTGTATGTATGCCGGCTTGACAGCGTTTTTAGTGATCAAAGAATGCTGAGGGTGTGTTTGCTAAGCTCGTTCCACCTGAGATTTATTTTGGGATTTTGATCACCTTGAGTAATCACCTTATGTCAAAGGAACCACACAAACAATATAACGCTGTTTGTACAATGCTGCACTTTACAGTAAACAAACTGCTTTAGCTCCTAGTGTCATTTCTCCAACACAACATTTGCTCTGGTTTTCCCCCCTCCAGGGCTCGGTTTATTTTTGATAATTAATCTCTCGGCAAGCCTAATGAATGGGAGCACATCAAACCCACCCCGTAAATATAGCGCCGATCTGCTCTTTTGGCGCCCAGCGATATGGGGATTACACTGGCTATGTGGAGCAGGCCTGGATCAAGTGACTGCGGTTGCTCTGCTGAACTACGAGCAGAGTAAAAAACACCAGAATAAAAAAAAAGGTAGCGAAGTGATGCAGGGGACATGTGTTTGCTTCGGGAGCCCGGCCCTGCCCACCGCAGAAGAGCCGGCTGACAGTTCTGGGTCACTCTCTCCAGCGCAACTTATCTCGCCCAGCTCCTATCTGGCTCTGCGATGGCGGAGGATGGAGGACGCAGGAAAAATAGGGCGGCTTATTGAGATAATAATGCAGTGTACATCGGTGACAGTTGTAAGCCGAGTGGCACAGTGCTTAAGCGTGGCAGGGTGCTGTGTGAGCTTTCGCCGCCTCGTTCCAACCAGGAGTGGGCGAAAACGGCTAACGCTTAATGTACACCGTTTTATGCTTTCAAAATCACTGCACCTAGATGTTGGTTTTATTTGCTTTGGCTTAAAACATGTTTGTTTTTCAAATTCCTGCTCACAGCATGGTATGGTCTGTCCACCCACCAGTACCAATAGAACGACTTTTTGATTTGAATGGGACTTGGTTAGTGGGTTGGATTTGTCCATACAGTATATCATCAGACCATATGGAAATTTGAATGAAACTATGGTTAGTTTGTGTTAAAACTACATTATGTTTTCTAATTCACTACTATAGTACATTATCAAATTCAGTAAAGAGTATGAAGTCCTTTCATTGGTATAGAACTTGAGCTTGAAATGTTTGTATTGTGACAGCACTTGTTGTTTCTGAACTGGACATGTTATATACACCCAAAGAAGAGAAAGCTTTATAGTATAGTAATTAGGGGTGTCAAATTATCGCGTTAATTGCGATTAATTAATTACAGTCATATTTAGCGCGTTATGTTTTTTAATCGCGTTAATCTCATTTTTAATCTCTAACTTTACTGTTTCTGTATGCGAGTTGCTTTATTATGAAACCTGTTTTTATGTGTTGTTGGGACAACAACACACACACAAAAAACACATTTATACATTTTTTGATTTCGGTAATTCCACTCATTGCCGGAAACCCACACAAAACGCGCGCAGTAAGAGCAACGTAAACGTCATGTTAAAGTTGACGGCGTCAGTCGCACAATGGACGAGGTGGAAGAGCCAGTAGAACAGAAGCAGCATCGCACAGGTAAAAATGCATTCGTGTCTTGGAAATTATTCTCCCAACATGAAATATAAAAGAAAATAACAAATATAATATCGCCTACAACTTAAATGTCACTGGTGAAAACAACCTGCATAGGCTCATGATGTCTGCACTACTGTCCTATAGTGACCTGCCACATGAGGGGACACGCACACAAACACACACAAACAAACACACACCTTCATCATCGTCATTAACCTGAGAACGCGCGGACCACGTTTCCTTCCGTAGACACTGCGCGGACACCGACGTGCTCCCGTGAGCCGCGTGTGGATCGTGTTTTCTCGCGTACGCTGCGTAAACCGCGCTTCCTCCTGTGCGCCTCTAAACCAGAACTAACACCAAGACTAAAACCAGGACTAATCCAATCCAGGACTAAACCAGGACTAAACCAGGTCTAAACCAGGTCTAAACCAGGACTAAACCAGAACTAACACCAGGACTAAAACCAGGATTAATCCATTCCAGGACTAAACTAGGACTAAAGTAGGACTAAAGCAGGTCTAAACCAGGACTAAAACCAGGACTAAAACCAGTGATCTCATATATAAAGCATTTCTCTATCAATAATATTTTTAATATGGTTAAGGAAAGACTGGACTTTTTATTGTCTTTAGACAAAAGTTATTATGTTCAGATTTCCTCGTCTTTGCTACTTTACAGCAAACAGTTTCTTATTCATGGAGACTTGGGCTCAACAGACAATTTGGAGAGATTTGTTAAACAATAAATGACTTTATAAAGTCACTTTTTAAAATCTATATCAGTCTTTTGATCTGCCACAATAATGTAATAATGAATTTAAATGAAAATACCTCAAATTGAAGCTTTTCTCAGCAATTTTTAGGTGAGATTAAAATGAGATTAATTAGATTAATTAATTACAGATCATAATTAATTAATCTCTCAATTTTTTTAATCGCATGACAGCACTAATAGTAATATTATTTTTTTTGTCCCTGAGGCTACTAGAAATGAGTAAAATCAAAGCTAATTAATAAAATGTTAACTGTCAGTGTTCACAATTAAGAATACTTATGTAAAAACGATATTACATATATTAAGAATATTGAGAAAAATCAGTAAAAATGGCTCACGACCGTAGACCGTATATATATGAGAGGACATAGCTAAAGCGCTAGCCGCCACATGCGAAATAGGAAGTTCATCAGGAGGCTGTTGACTTTCATTTGGATCTTTTCACCCCTCTCTCTGTAACTGCTGCTTTGAGCCTCGCCAGTTTGATCTTAAAATGTTTGTATGAACCTGCTCTACATGATCCTGAATTAAATTTTATTTTTTCACTATTTTGTTCATCAAAAAAAAATAAATCCTATTCATAACATAATAGAGCCTGGCTACACTTTATGCCCACGACTCACACTTACACTCACACTTAAACGTTTGACAAAAGTTTACCGCAACACTGCAGGAGTCTAACTTCCGGACAATGTTGTGATACCCACTTTCTCCCCTGGCATCTCTGCTTAAGGTGGCATTGTATTAGATAAATGTCACTTACAATTAAAGTTGATAATGTTACGGCGTAAAGGTCAGATACAAACCTGGGCACCGAGGTAAGACTCTCCCGACTGATTCACAAGACTTGCTCTGTCACACCACTTAACTGGCTGACATGTTTTTCCAGTCATTGTGCTTTCAATTACACACATTACCCTGATTAGATTTACATTTTGTTTTTTTTCTCTTTGCTAGTTCTAATTGGCAAAGATGATGGTAAATTAGGCAAAGGAGGGCGCATTCACCGTAACATTGGCTGCAGTCCGTCACCTTGAAATGGACAACACAGACTTGGCTGCCTATTAATCTGCTAATTTCATGATCGGGGTGAAGAAAGCGATGAAATGTAATGGGCTACCCTTTTCTGACATGGCATTTCGTGACCTCTAGTTCAAATAAGAGAATAATTTGTGCTTAATTAGCCCGGAAGATTTTGTGTCCATCATACACTTCCGAAGCTTGTCTAATTGTTTGATTCTTTGTTTTTTTGACCCTTGCAGGCCCCAATATTACAAGGTTATAGAAGAATGTGTATCTCAGGTTGTCTTGCATCGCAGTGGGATGGATCCTGATTTTGGCTATAGTAAGCGCCTAGATGTCGACTTCACTCATCTGATTGGTAAGCCACATGCAATTTCTGATTTCAGTTTTTATATAGATTCTCACCTCTTTTTTCATATTAACATATTTTAAATTTGTTAAAGAAATTCCACTTAATCAGCAGGGGTTTTATCACTAATAATGCTAAAAATACATTTGATATTCAATGCTTCACAGTGACTTTCATTATCCTCCCACACTCTCCCAGGGTTTCATTGCCAAACACCTGTAGTGAGAAGACTTTTACCATTGATTTATTATAAGATATAATTTAACAGTAAAACTTTTGCTTTGTCTTCTTGGAACTTAAAAAGAAAAGGCAAAGTGGAGTCAAAACCGTCTTTTAACGCTGCAGTGGTTTTTGCAGTTTTCTTTTCAAACATAGGAAAAAAAAAAAGCTCAAATAACAATGTGTAAGTATGCACTGGTGACAGTTTAGTAACTTACCAACAAAGGGTCATTAAAAGTTTCCAAACCCATCCACAGAGGAAGAAGTTGGTGTCTTGCTTTACTCAAATTTGGTCTGAAAAAAAAAAAAAGAAGAAAGTAAAGATTTTGGTTTTGCAAATTAACACAGTTGTGAGATGCTTATTACCACATCTGATATTCACAATGGATGCTCTTTTCTATTTGCTTGTATTTGATGTCTTCCTTTCGCATTCCCGTGTGTAGTATAATCAAATAAATCTGACTAGTATCTATTCTAACCAGATCTGAAAGGACTGAACTACCTCCGAATCACAAATGTGTGCAAATATTCAAACAAATAACAATTGGAGACCAGAATTCCGCATCAAAACAATTATTTTTTGTTTAAAGGTACTGTGCCTAATTTCGCTGTCTTATAAATGTGAAAATTAGTTAATTTTGCAGTGGTCCGAAGTTATTCCTCACTACCTTACGCATTCCAAACATCTTAATTTTTCACTGCAGTGAGTTTATGCTGTCAGAGGAGAGCTAACAACACCTAGCATGATAACAAGTGCAACTGACTATCAGACAATAAAACACTTATAATTAGATGCAGACAGCACACAGCTTCTTTATTTAATGTCAAGAGCTGTTTATACAATATATCTGTAGTGGAGCCAGTTACATATATGGGAAAAACTATGTACCTTTAATCTTCAAACTTAGCATAATCACACGTTTTCCATTTGCTAGATTTACATTAAAAGGTCACAGGTTAATTATGGATTTTATTGATTGAAATGCACAACACACACAGCCCATTATATTTTTAAAAGAAACACTTCTTATTCTTATTATGTTCAACAGTATCCCATAAGCAAGGTGTAGGTCAATATTGTTGCTGGTGTCTGTATGCATCAACAAGCATGATGTAGCTATTTGTGCACTCTTTGTAAATGCGTTCTATTGAAATACATGTATCTGTGGTTTGCCTTGTCTTTTAGATCAGTGCGTGGATAAAGCCCGGGTGGAGGAGAGCGAGCAGAAAGCTGACGAGTACTCGAAAAAGGTACGACATTAATCACTCCCAACAGCCCCTTGCACGTTGCCGGCTCCCATCAGGAAAGTTTTTTTTTCTGCCTGCGAGATCCCAGACTAGCTATCGATTGTCCAATGCCCTGATCAATACCTGGCTGTGACGCTACATGATCCGTATCAACACTACAAGGATCAATGCCACCGGTCTGATGTATACAGCAAAGCTATGTGTAGGTGTTTTTGAGCCCAGCTTCCCATTGTTATTTCAAGATATTTTGAGAAGGCAGGAAAGTTATGAGCTTTTTCTGCGTCTGTATTAAACTCAAGCATTTTTATATCTCTCAGTAAGAGAGTAAAGTAACGTTTATTTAGAGAGCAGTCTTCAGAGGTCAGATCACAGTGGGCGTTGCAAAAATAATGTGAAAAATTACAACTTAAGTTCAACCAATCACTCCATAAATCAATTAATAATGAAAAAAACACAACAACAACAAAACTGATTCAAGAACAAAATTGGGATCAAAACAGATCAGGGAAAGCAAACCTTTATCCTGACAATCCAAGAAAGAAGTCATGTCCAAAACAAAGATAACTTTTTCGATTGGCGATTTGAAGTGGCTAGTCTCAAATTTGAGGGCTCAAAAATGAAAAATTGCTTTTCCATCAAATGTCATGATGTCCGACTGTTGGAAGACTGATTGCAGTGCCTTGCATGTAGCTCTTGGGATATTCAAATTCAAATTTAAAACAAGATTTCATATTTAAAAGATGTGAAAGGATGGTGATGAATCATAAATCATACTTTCACAGATCTCAGGCTAATTGGACATTTCTCTTGACCATAGCAACATTACGACTGGTGATTTGAAAGATAGCTTGTTACCATAGCATCATTTTGGTCAGCTATTTGTGCAAATAAATATTCTGTCCCTCACCCCAAATTGAATCTTCAATTGCCAGATATAGTAAATTAAGATGAAATTTTCTCTAAAAGCAAAACTCAAAAAAAAAAAAACAAAAAAAAAACCCACTAGTGACACAATGTTTTTATGTTTTTAGTGTTTATTCTCTGTTCAGATAAAATAACACACTGAAACCATCTACCATACGAAATCATAGCCCAGCTCTATAATATGTTTGCACTCTGGAGCAAGCGATGGTTACTCTCAAAACAACCTGTATGCACTGAGAAGATGGGTGAATGTAAGAATTCTATGGTGATTGTTTGACAGAATAAAACATTGTGTCTGTACAAATGTTAATTAACTATTATTTAAATGCAGGGAGTACAGGTGGAAACTAGCATGTTTGTTCAAACCTGGCATACAGCATGTCATATTTACATATTAACTTTTTTTAAGGGTTTTGTGCATTGTTCCAGATCAAATTAATGCATTCAAATCAAATTAATTAATATGTTTAGTGGACCATAGTATTTTAGTTGATAACTGACCTTTTTCTCCACAACGTTGTTTGCTCATGAATAAACAGATGAATGCTCAACAAGACTGCACAAAAATATATATTCATAAACCTGGTCCCATTCTACCTTAGGGTGTTTTTGTCTTAAGAGCCCCTCTAGTGTCCTAGACGTCACACTGGGACTTTGATGTCATTGGGGTGACATCCTTTGGTCTCCTCAAAGGTTAGACCCTTCAACATAAAAAGCAGATCTAAAACAAAACCAAAGACCACCAGGATACTAAGGGCCATGGAGTGCTCGGAAAAAGAACAATCCAATGACATGCAAGACGGCATGTATGGAGACACCCTGCCACGCCTAGCTCAACAGATCCATTGTATTTTTGTGCATTGGTAACTGTGTGGACATGCAATCTACAATACATGTACTCACTCTTCCTCATCTCCTTTCTTCCAGTTTGATGAGGAGTTCAGCGCGCGGCAGGAGGCTCAGGCCGAATGTCAAAAGAAGGAAGAGAAAATCAAAGAGTTGGAGGGAAAGATCCAGACCCTGGAGTCTCAGGTAAATCCATAAAGAGAAGTGTCTGAAAAGTCTTGCACTTCACACGCGCGCAGCACAATTGTAGGTTTTATAGGAAGGTGTGAAAGCTACTCTCAAATGTACCTGTAAACGTGATGAAAGATCTCCAACATCACAGCAATCGGAAGAAAGCGTCAGCAATGTAAAAACGAGTTGATTCGGTCACGATGATAGCCTTCCAATGCACTTAGAGATGCACTGCTCCAGTAAGTGGGAGTTATCATCCATGCAGGAATATTTGATTTAATAAAGGGTCAATCTCCTTCTCGCGGTGTATCTCTTTATGTGGGGGATTTGCTCTATTGAAACGTTTCCTATGTAATTCTATCATCACAAAGATGGATTGCATCTCCTTTTTCAGGCGTCCACATCATTTCTTCCAGGCCAAAGCTCTCCATTTTAAGGAAATGGAAAACGACTGCTATTTCCCCCTTAACCCAATTTCAAACACTTTAGTACTGTCTTGGGACAAAAGGGCAGCCTGTCTTTCTGCTTAGGGGAATTTAATCTAAACCAGCATTGAAAGACGCTATAGCTACATTTATATCTTAGAGTGCTTTTATCATTTTTTGCCGTTCCTCATGTTGGCACCCACTATCTGATGAAATGCACCTACCTCACTGGAAAATTTCTCAGTTGGAAAATGGTGATACCTCACTCCACAGCATTCCTATAAGTCTACCTTAGCAAACTTCAGGCAAAGTCCTGCGCAAAGTCAAATCAGGTTTTCTCATATAACTTTATCCCAGAGTGCGCTGTTGCCACTTGTCACCTGTGTTTGTAGTCTAACAGGTTCACAGCATACTCAATTTCACACCACTGTCCACCCATTATAATGAGACCGCCGCCATGTCAGCCTGCTTCCCTTGCGCTCTCTCCTCTCCCCTCCGTCTGTCAGAAATGCATGCATGAGGCTGTGTTACTTTTACCTGCCCTTTTCCCTTGTTGAGGCTTTTATGTTGTATTTTCCGAGTGTTTTTATCCCCACAACACACCCTTACCCAAGCCTCCCATGGCAGGGCTCAGTCTTTTGAATAGCGAAGAGTGGATGGTGCATTAACAGGTAGTAGAGAGACCAGAGTCTCGGGAGAAGGAGCTCTTTGTCTGTCTGAATGTGTCTTCAAACAGAGGGAAGACGCACATCAACAAACATTAACCTTAGCTGAAAAAATGACATTTTCTTGTACTAATATGGAGATGTATACAAGCTATGTGTGAAAAGTACCCTAAAGCTTTATGTGTACAAATGTATAAAGAAATATACAATGAAGGGTTTTTACTAGGGATGCAATACTGGTATCGGATATTGCCGCCAAAAGGAACATTTTGCTGTATTTGATATTGACTCCCAAATTTCATTTCAGCCATTATACTGATTGGATCTATAAATGAATGTAATAAGACTGGTCGCAGCTATAAGACTCAAAGCTATAGTATCGGAAAAGGTATCAGAACTGAAAAAGCTGTATCGGTTCATCCATAGCAACTACTTACTCTATGTTACTCGAGACAGATATACAGAGACCAAGAATGTCAAAAGTACTCACAATACTGTAGATTGTTTCCAAGCTAAAGTCTTTGCAATCTTAGTCTGCAGTTGTATCATATTTAACATATTCAGCAATAGTACAAACATCACAATACTATATCATCATCAGTTGTAATTAATACCTTAACACCTTGGGGCACTGATAGCGCTCTGCTGTAATTCCATATATGGATGAATAGATAAATAGTTAGTAAGATTTTCTTTATTCTATTTAAATTATGTTTCATTTTGTTCAATCCCAAATAAAACCAACATGAACATAAATAAAATTATTTTAAAACGCTTGATGTAAAAAAACATAAACAGGTTGGTGTTTCTTTTCATGGTCAGCATCAATCTTACGCTACTCTCTCTCTCGTTCACTTTCATGGTTTACGCTGCATGCCTTTTGCTGACTTTTAATGAACCACGATAGTCTTTACATACTATTTGTCCATCAAAGGTGCTTTGCTGCTGTTGCTATCTGATCCTAAAAACCGTACGCTTTAACTACAACCTTTCATCTTCCAGACACCATTCCTTCAATATTAAACGGCATGCATGTTGGAGCCACAGCTCTTCACCTTGTTTGCGCACCGACACATTTAATGAGAGGAACTTTGGCATGGTAACAAGCTGGCCTATTTGATGTGGCCGTTTGATTAGCCTTCCAATCGAGTCGAGTTGAAGTCCCGTCCGTAAACATCAACAAAGGACAAAATCACAAGTGGAAATCAGCTTCCCTCTTCACAAACCTTTGAGCCAAACCATTCAAGGCCAAAAAGAGGAACCTATTCATTCACTTGGCTGTGGATGTGATGAATTATGTAGCACTGCGGAGGTACATAGGAGCAGTGCGCACCATCCCATTAATAGGTTTTAACAACCTGGCCGTCTTGTAGCTGACCCAGCTGAGCCCTGCAAGGAGCTCAGGTCTAGTGCTACACGGTTCTCCCTCCTGCACCACCAGCCTGCCTCCCCCTTTTACACATGATAGAATTGGTTTGAAATAGTAATGACAGGTGAATGTGTGAAAAGCCTCTGAAGCAATGTGTCTTGTTATGAGGTGAGGCCAGTTCATTTGTAAACCCATGCTAAACACATAAAAAAAATTTACTTTCCTAGTCTAGTCGGTAGCAGAGAGCATGAACTAAGATAACACATCAGAAAAATATTACTATATGCTAAGGAATGCTTTTAGCACCCAAAGCATGCCACAATATAGTGTCCTTACATCCACCTGCCATAGCAATAATTGATATGAAAAGACATACATTCTTATATACATTTGTATTTTTTGAAAAGCCGAACTTTAGACCTCAAATTTTCAATAATAGTTGTTAATGTAATACCTTGCATGTTAAAAGGATTCTAAATAGGCTACAAAAAGTCAAAGCCACACGATTGTTCTGGTGTGTTTTGCGTTGTCTTGGCGCATGGCCTTTTCCATTTCTTTCATCACCCTATAGATCCATTACCATTTTGCCCTCCCTATTGAAAATTACAACAGTTTTCATCAAATGAATATTTCCTGATCAGTTTTGATATCCCTTTAACTTTAACAGACTTATATTATGCTATTTACTGCTCTATGTTCTAATGTTGTTTCTCCATACCTGGAGTTTTAGATATTTTCAAGAGGAAAACACTCTGTTCCACCTTGTGTTTCACTGTGTTTTTAAACCTCATACACCTTTCAACTCTATCTCTACTGAACTAAAGGTAAAATGTAGCTGTTAACTTACAGACTACCACTCCATTTTGAGCTTTGGAGATGTAGACTAACTAATAATAAGAGATTACTCAATAATGTGTGAATGAAACAAAACACAACTCCAGGTAATTTTTGAGAAGGTAGCATCATGACAACATGGCATAAAGCTCACAAAAATCCATTTTGTGTAATATAGGGCCTTTAAACAATTTCTGTTGCTTTCCCCAAAGGTTTGTGTGCTTGCAAAATGGAGTCATGTTAAGCAAAGCCTCCATTTCTTGCATAGCTTTTGTTTTGCCTGTATATATTTACGAGTGACAATAGGAGCATGCTTCCGAGTGTTGCGACGACTGCCATTGCCTTGTGCCTTTCATCCTGGAGTCGCTGTTCTCCACTGATGTTCTTTTGAAGACATATCCCATCTCCTTTTAGGTGCAAGGGTACAGCACATTCTGCCTTTGCACATCAAATAGCTTAATCAGACCAAATTAGATTCTCCTCTGTCATCTCCTGTGCAAAGGGCCATTCTTGTTCTCTTGCTTGTATCTGGTCTATCTTCTTGTTTCCTTACTTTGTGGAGATTCTTGTGTGTCTATCTAACCCACCCACATGTGTTCCTCTGTCTGGTGTGCCTGGTGTGTCCACTGTGTGTCGTACAGTTAACTATTGAGAGAGAGGAGCTCAATAAGGCTCAGAAACTCATCCGGGAATCTGAAGCCAAGGTGGGTGTTCTCTTTGCTTGTCGCCTTGGCTTAGTCGCTGTCAATCAGTTGGATCCCACACACTCGACTTAGGGCTTTAGTACACTTCAGAGATAGTTGTATTACAGTGGATTATATTAGGCTTATTATCTTTTGTAATGGTAAATAGAAGGAGGCTGAAATGAATCCTGGAATTGAATAATATAGAGGAACACACAGGTGTTAGTGCTCAAGAGGTACACTTATATAAGATAGTAAATGTCTTTGGACAAGCACTAGGAGAGCATTGAAATAAAGGTCAAAATACAGTTGTGTTTTGATTATAAAATATGAAACAAAAATAAATAAATAAATAAATAATAATAAAATATACTTATTTAAAGGTACATTGAGGACCCTTTCTGGTAGAGGGCGTGGCACCAGCTTGTTTCCATGGAGATGCTATTGCTTTCCCTTTATAAGAGTATGGCATTAAATGTATCAGGCTCCAAGAAGACAAGCAGGTGGCCAAGTTACAGGTCAGGTCTGTGGAGAGGTGACAGTAGGGATTCATGTTTTTCAAGCAATAAAAGCACCCATAATTAAATAATTGCTAGATAAATAGTTTTAAAGGCATACTCTGAAAATGATGCAGTGTCCTTTTTATTATCATTTGGTGCTAACTGTAATTACCAACATCCTTCACCTCTTCAGTGGACAATGGAAGAACTTTGGTTTCTACCATTGCTATAAACGAACAAAATAAAAAAAGTGGTATTGAAATTGTTCTATTTTTTAGTAAATCAGACATGATATGTAGAAAAGACAGATAAAAGGACAGACTCAATATGGAAAACAACTGCTCTCTCATTTTCCTGCTAATTTGCTTCTATTCTCTTCATTTTAATCTTAGAAGAGAAAATTGGCCACAGAGGGCTGCAGACCGCCACACATGTAATCATTGAATTTGGATTTTTCAGTGAAGGGCTCTAGGCAATCTGTGAGAAGCTCCTCAAAGAATACCTTTTCAAATTTAAGCCCCAGTAAATGCATGGGAGAGACACTATGTAATGAAAGACCGGTCCATATAATGTCTTAAATAATTGGACTATCACATTTAATGCGCACAATCAGCTTGAAAAAAACTGCTGAGAGGAATGAGCTTTGCAAATGAGAAGTGTAAGTGGAAATACGTTGCCCAAACAGCTGGCATCTGATCAGCTCCCAAGATCAAACTCAGCCTCGGCTTTGCTGCCTCTAATTGTTCCATTTGCATTTGCAGTTTCATAACAACATGTAATGGTGTTACACGCCAGAGTATACGGGGGTGCTCTTATCGATGTGTTTGCACATTTGTCAAAGCTGTGTCCAGTGCAATGACAGAACAGCTATCTTTTGTAAATACATTATAAATTACAAAAACAGAAGCACTGACATTTTGAAAAGTAATACAACTGATCTGACAATTTAATATGTAAATTAATACATGGCTAAAACCTGAAGGTATAAGATTAATGCTGGACCCTTTCAGTTAATGAGTCTGGCTGGTTAGCCATTGATCATACTTTGTATATTACAAAAGCAATATTAGTATTTACTATGGAGTCTTGCAGCTGTCTGGAAACACATTGTGTAGACATTGAATATAATTGTATTTTTATATATGTTTTAGAATTTTATAATCAGTCACATAATAGGGAGTTTTGTCTTGTTTCTCTCATTAACATTACTGTTGTGTCCTTACAGGTTGCGGCAGGTCCGACAGCTGGAGGAGCTCCACCACCTCCCCCTGTCCCAGGTGGTGCTGCTCCACCACCACCTCCTCCTCCCCCTCCTCCCCCCGGCGGCTGTCCTCCTCCCCCTCCTCCTCCTCCTCCACCAGGACATGCAGGTATGCCCCCTCCACCACCACCTCTGCCTGGAGGAGGACCCCCGCCGCCCCCTCCTCCTCCTGGATGTGGCATTCCACCTCCTCCACCTTTCGGTGGTCCAGGTGGACCTCCTCCTCCACCTGCACTGCCTGTGGTCAAACTGCCTTATGGACTGGAGCCGAAGAAGATCTACAAGCCTGAAACTGTGATGAAGAGAGTTAACTGGACAAAGGTAGTTTTATCTAAATATCTGCAAGTAAAAATATACCTAAGTACCATACTCACTTTGTTAAACACTGGAAAAAAAAAACAACAACAACAAAAACAACCTTCTATCAGTTTAAGTGATCCACATCATTTACCTAGAAAATGAAAACAAAACAATAACCACCTAATTAAATCACATTTTTAAAAGTATGTACAACACAATTTTAGAGTGTTAAGACTCCTAAAGCCTGTGAGTAAAAACAGTGTATTAGTGCCTTTGTTGTATGTTTAATGCTCCTCAGCCCTCTGTGATAGGAGAGGGATATTGGACTGGATGGATCATTCATGATGAAGGCTTGCTCTGCTCCTGCACCGGCTGATGTAAATGTCCTCCAGGGAGACGAGGCTACTGTTGGTTATTTTTTCTGCAGATTTACACTCTCCGTGCCGAGCCCTACTGACTGCAGCAGGGCAGATTCTACATCACACAGTAATGGAGCATGGCAACATAGTCTCCACTAAATACTGATAAATGTCTGTTATGATCTAGGAGCTAATTTTCTCCACCTGATCCTGTTCTGAACCTGTTCTCAACCTTACATTGTTGAAAATGTTTTATGTTTACGTTATTATGTGTAGTGTTGCTTCATATTGCATCTCTATACATCCATTAATAGAAGATGTCCTCGACTGTGTGATGCAACTATAAGGTAGTTAATTAATGATCCAAAGGACCCTCAATCTTGTCAAACAATACTGTATTCACACAAACATCCTATTGTATATTAGCGTAAACAATTTTTTTCTGCAAATATCCTTGGATTTCTAATTGAACAACAACCGGATTATGTTCCAGCCTTTCTGAATGCAGTTTCCACAGGCCATTTTGTTCCACAAGGGCTTTATCTAAGCAAAGATGATTTATTCTGTACTTCAGGTTTCCTTGTATTTATTAATGCTTCACGCACTATGGCCTTGTGTACTAGAACATAATTAGTGACAACTAAACACAGAATGCTTCTTTTGATGTAAGTGTACATTATGAAAAGTTATGGTCCAAAAGTCTTATTTCTTTTCCTTTTAACCACGCTGATTCCCCTTCTCATTTACTCTCAAAGTTTTATTTGGAGTGATTGAACAGTCTTTAATGACTTGTTTTGAAGACGTCATATTGCTAATCAGTCCCCGTTTTTACCTCCACCAACACACACCCACTGCTCTGTACATACTTTGTTTTCCTATTTTATTTTCTTAATCAATCAGTTATACACTTAGGATTTGGCAGCATTGTGTAATCATTTTGCTACAGATGAAAAACTAAATATCTTCTGCTTGCTAGTGTGATCTGCAGCTTTCCATCCTAGTTGCTGACTCTTTTTTGTGATGACGTTTGCAGTGACGTTACCTCCCATTGTGTGACATAGTTTAGATTACGCAGAAGCCAGCAGGCCTGTGTCTTTTATTACGTTGTGTTGATGAATATTGTAATATTTAAAAAGTTCTTATGTCATGATCCACGTGTCGTTATACAGCAGACACAAACACAATAGATCTTCGTTAAGACTGAACGTGATTAGGGCCTAACCCAGCTACTTTAAATATGTTTTTCAAAATACTATGTTTAAGATTGAAATTAGCCTTCATTAGATGTCATTATGTTATTCAAAGTTTCTCCATATGACTTGAGTAATTTGTTGCATGCAGCAGACTAGTGCCAATGCCCATTGTCTTGGAGGAGCTATAATCAAGCTAACATGCAGGCCAATTAACCTTGCCTCCCCAGGATTTGTAATTTGGAGATGCAAATGAAATTCATAACCACCGGAGGAAAAACAGTCTGCGTCTCTTATGTCGATTAGGTGAGACATGAGTCTTCTGTCAACTCTATGTGCAAGCAGATGGAGCCAGACTTTTGCCAGAAGCAGTTAGCACCATACATGAGCAAAGAAAGCACTCATTACATACACCAAGTGGAAGGGACAATTTAGACATTTCAGTTTACAATCTCACATACATTTTGTTCAGTGTAACACAACTTTTTCATTATAATTCTAAACATTGTGTTGCACCTTGAACTTCATAGCTTCAATTGTATTTTTTCTCAGTTAATTTCTCAAAGCAGGCTGAACTATTACTTTTTGTTTTTAACTTATTTTTTGACGTTCATCAAAACAAGTTCAAAGTATTCCCCTTTTGTTTTGCTATTAGAAAACCTGTGAATCTGAACACCGTTATACCACTTCTTTGTATTTTAAATTATTTTCATCTGATTTAATTAAATTGAGCTGAACTTTGAAAGTATATTTTAACCTCCATTATGCCGTTTGATCACAAAGCAGTCGAGTGTCAAAATATTAGGCTCTAATTATTGCCATTCACACAGTTTTTTTTATCTTAGCTTTTATTTGGGGGTGCTTAAAGGCGCTGTACCTGATTTTTACTGTCTTAAAAAAACGTGAAAAACACAACTTAATTTTAAATGATTTGCATCCTAGTCACTGTGATGAGTTTATAAGCCCGATCCACCACTTTCAGTGACCAGAGTAGAGTTTTGCATTCATCGTAAAGCTAACATCAACTAGCATTCTAACCAGGCTCTTCTTGATTATTGAACTGTAAAACACTTTATAATTAGGTGCAGACAGACTTGTTTTGACCCGTTTTGAATATATCTGTACTATAAATTCCAAATACATGGGAAAAAAATTGGATGCAGGTCCTTTAAGTTCAGCTGTATTACCCCTGCACTTGGTCCATTACGAAAAAACCCGCATGAATTTTCAGTGACTACCGATAAAAAAGATGCAATTTTCTGTCGTATGCTTTATTAGCCATTAATAAGTACACTATGCCTGTTGGGAATTATCTGTACTCTGCCTTATCTGGAAGCTACGAAGAGGAAATGAAAATAGGAGCTTGTAAGCCCCCTATGGCTGACTATCATCTCCTATAGGTGCAGTGAATGAACAGGTTTTCTAAGGTTACAAGCTGCTAACTCACATCATATTTCTGTATGTGTGGTTAACAATGGTCAATGCACAATTCATTTCCAGCATGCACATAACATGTAACACAATAAGCTTATACCATGCCAAGACCAGGATTTTAACCATTGGTCATGTAGTTCAAGGGCAAAGGGCCAATTTAAGATAAGTGGCTTTCAAATAACATAATAATGTCATAGATTCCATAGTTTAATGCTTAGAGCTTGAGAGGAAGTCTTTAGTAGAATTTCAGATTTTGTATTTTTTTGTCAGTCCATGCTAAAAAGCTTCTCTGTTAGCACAAATTAACTGAAGTTACTTTTTTTTTTTTTTTTTAAACTATATCTTCTTAAAAGGATTCATGATTGTGATGTTGTCAGTTGAACGGACTTCAAGATTAATATAGCAAGAATAGAGTTATATAGGTCCCAGCCCTCCATCTAAAAAAAATGGAAACCAACAAGCAAACTGTATGGTGTATCGCAGCTGTACTAATAGGCATGTCACATACTCACCATGCTTACGATCACATTCCACTATGCAGTGCAGTGCTTGTAAATAAAAGGAGTGCGTTCCCTCACTGTTCTTATCTCTTGGTTTTGTCTTTGCTCCACTATTGCTGAGGCTGCACAAGGGCATGTATATGTCCACACTTTGAAAAAAGGCAAAATCCCTTACAAAGCCCATCTCCAATGTGGAGAACTTTCTGAGTGGCAGCTTGGTGCATTGGCGCTTTCTGATTGTGGTGATAATGGAATCCTTGTGTCATTGCAGATAGTGCCTCAGGAAATGGCAGAGAATTGCTTCTGGATCAAAGTCAAAGAAGAGAAGTTTGAGGATCCTGACCTATTTGCTCAGCTCTCCCTGTCCTTCTCGTCGCACAGTAAAGGTATGATGGCTCCAGCCAGCCCCCGTCTCTTTAACGAATCTTCACATGAGCTTCATTTAGCCTCTGCACACACACAAAGATGCCAAACTGCTTTGATCTTGTGGCACTTTAAGGAACAATTTTCCCATTGAAATTTTAATTATTTTTAACACGAGCACTTTCCTCCCAATATTTATACTCTCACAATTCAAATGTGTATGCCAATTAGGACTACAAATGCTCTTGTTGCCTGCTGCTGCTGGTGCCTTTAAAATAGCCAACCAAGCATTGTGGCTGCATTGTATTCCTTGTGTGTACCCATTAAGTAGTTTTAGATGAGTCTTTTTGTGCGTGCACAAACTTGAACTCAGGCGAACTGAGAGAAGCAGTTATGCTTGGTTTGCTTCTTGCCTCTTTACAGTCCAGTAGGCCAATCCTCCACAGAGGCAAAGCAGCAAAGCATTTGTGAAGGAAACTACACCAGTGACTTTCTTTCTCCTTGTCCCAGCCAGTTTGTTTTTGAGATGCATAACCCAAGCTATACCTAACACACTGATGGATAACAACACCAAGTTTTTTTTTTATTTTATCTTATTTTTTATGGGTGATAGGAGGCTTGACGAATTCTTTCCCATGACAATTTTCTACTACTTTGGCAGTGCATGTGTGTGTTGTCTCTAATTCAGGCAATGGTAGCAGGGTGCTGTCAAGTTCATAACAATCCCGTTGGATGCGTGTCAGACTGCTTGGGCGTAACTACGCGAAAATCCTACTCGACTTCCACAATCGTCTTGTTTGGACACTAGTCAGAGTGTAAGCAGCGCCCCCCCTCCTCTCTCTCTTCTCCAGGTCGGCAAACTAGGCTCGTCTGGATATAAATTTGGCTCAGCAGCCGTGAGGTTCTGGCATAATGCAGATGGAGTGAGCGAGTGTGAGGGAGGAAGGAACAGTTGTTGCACGGCTTAATGAAGTGGCAGGGCACAGCAGCGGTGTGACTTTTTGTCTCATCTTTTACCAGAGAATCCCTGTCAGACAATGTATTTTAACATGTTCCCTGTCCAAAGTAAGTAGAACTGAAAAACTTCTTGGCACATTTGACATTCATGTTTAATTATTTCTACTTTTTGTGATATGTTGCTTAGAAAAAGGAGCTGATGCTGAGGTATGTAGTTTTGGGGCATGTGACACTGACATTGTACTTTTGAGAGCATGTGAGCAGCTACTGTATTTTAATGGCACAGGTTGTTCCTTAAGTTCCTCATTACTGTTAGAGTGCTATGGGTAATTTTTGAAGGGCAAATATGTCAGATAGTCCTTTTTTGCACAACAGTATGATTAAGGCTGGAAATCTTGTGATCAGATCTAGGCACTTTTTGAAGTTTGATAAATTACTGAAGTAAATATAGACAATACATGACGATAATATTGAAACAAAACCATGAAGCTGAATTATCCCCATAAAAGCATTCTAAATGTACAATATTCTAAAATCACTATACCCAAAATTTCCCACTAGTACAAATAAAAAATACCCATGATAAATATTGCCTCCCAAAAATGATTGTTACAGCTATTACGTACTGAACACTAAGTCCATATAGTAATATTGTGACAGGCCTAATCGGATCCCATTTTGGTGTTTTTACATTTTGGTTAGTTGATAAGTGCTTTCTCAGACACCTTTCCTCACCGACTCCTGCTATTGGTCAGCCTGTATGATAAGTAATGCGAGTGACAGCTGGATTTAACCAATCACAGTGAAGTACAAAGTCTCAGAAGCAGCAAGTGATGTATAAAGACTCAACATATTTAGTGATTAAATCAAAATTTTAACCAAGGCTCTAGAAAACTGTAAAAAAAAATTTTGCATATTGCCCACCCTCGTTTTTTACTATTTATCTATTTGTTGAGGCACAATTTAATGACTACTGGTATATGTTACAATTTTGGAATGCCAGTTCGGTGTGAATTATATGCGAAAACAATGATAATATGTTTTATAATGTTTTGTGAAAGAGAAAGTTAAGTAAGGTTTAATGTGGAGAGTTAGTACTTAAGCAACTTTCATATTGTTTTTATGAAAGTATATAAAGACGGTTTTGCTCATGCCATATATTTTTGGGCCATTAAGTCATCATTTTCAGAAACAACCTTTTTTGCGTTCCTCTTAAATGACAAATTGCTTGAATTTAGCTGTAAATCTTCTTTACGATTCTTACTAAATATCCCTATCTCACCCTCCCTGCTCTGTGAAAGTCCCCCATAGACAGTCCGTTCCCACTGGCAAGGTAAGAATTCATGATCCAGCATTTCCTCTGGGACTTACCTTAGCTGGATCCCTATCAATTACCCCTACAGGGACCACACTGATTCAGCTCTTTTTGCCTCCATTGTTGAAACAGAACATGATTTGCTCATAAATGAAAAATGCTGTTTAATGTTTGATATCCACACCGCCCTCTCCGTGTACCCCCAGCTGGTGAAAGTCAATGAGATGGGCTTTGAAGTATTTTAAGTAGGATGTTATACGAAGTAAGCTACTGGACTAATATTGTGATTTTTTAAAAATTCTTCCACAACAGTGTCAGTGTGTAACAAATAGGGAAAAGCACACAGCATATTTAAATGTTAAATAGATGTGTTGCTAAAGTGTGACTTTCCCAGGGAGAGCACATGTGTGTTTCATATTTCGAATAAAGTAATTAATATATTGGATCAGATCAGTGATTGTGTGAGTTACTGTCGTAGCTGAAGAATGGCCCTTTTAAATCTGTTACTATCCGTTGATGCTATACATTTTAGATAGTCATTCAGTTATTTTCGGTGTTTGCTTTGAAGTGAACTTAGGTGCATTACCAAGGATTACCAGGATTATAACTTGGGGCTCCACACTTATGATCTATCAACCATCCATTATTCTTTTTGCTACTGTTGATGTCTGTTATCAAACCACTGCAATTTACACTTGGACTTGTTGGATATGTTGGACTTGAAGTATTTTTCCATTTTTCCTATATGTGAAAACATGTATATTGAGGGTAGCGCTCTCTAGTGGGGTGCCCGGACTATTGCGAAGGATGAGGCAAGCAGGTGTAAATGCTTTCCCCACTGAGCAACCCCAGTAAAATGGTGCAAAACAACTTCTTATAACTTACTTTGGGGTTCTCACTTGTTCTTGCATTGTTGAAAAGCAGCACTTCAGCTGTAGGAAACGAGGGGAAAAAAATCACTTTAACTGTCTTCGATTTTGTGACGCTTGCGCTCAGAAGAGGCCTTTAAAACAACAGCACATGCGATTCTGTCTTCTCCCCTGCTGCTTTTATGAGTCTCACGATGTAATGAGTTTTATAAAGAAAGGAAATGATTATCAAGAGGTATTTTTTAACTCATCTTGAATCTTGTAGAAGTGTCTTTACTTTGTCATTTATTATGTGATAGCTCTCAGCCCTGATTGAACCCTTAATAAAATGGTACTTTGTTCGGAATTCTGAAAGGCTTGTGTGCTCGCAGAGTCAATGGAAAATTCTGTTGAAACTTCTGAATAATAAATCCATAACAGAAGACCTTAGTCTTATCTAAATAGTTTGGAGTTTAACTTATATTGACTTCTTTGGGGTAATGGACTCAAAAGTACTCTTGAGAGCATAGTTGGTAAATGGAAGGAGAATGAATACAATTCTGCAAATGTAGACAGTATATAAGGATAGCATTAGTTGATTCATGTTGCCCTTTTATTCCATAACAAAGTAAAAATGGATCTTGACAGTTCTGCATTTTTAAACAAATTGTTGAGTTTTTGTTTTTGTTTTTGTTTTGTTTTTTTCACTTATACCTAATACCAAGTGTACTTAATGATTAGTGTAGATTACAATTGAGTACTGCTAAGTGCTAAGGGATGTGAACATTTGGTGAAGCAATAATTGTTATTATTCAGGCCCTGAGAATTTTAGAAGCTAAATTAGGTAGTTTTAGTTAATGTTACTTTGCAATTATTGTGTGAAGAAACTTCCCAATTTAAAACATATATAGATTTTGTACCTTCCTTACATATAACCCAAGAGAAATACTACTGATGAAAAGTTAAAAACATTTGATCATGTGTCATCTTAATTGTCCCAGTATTTCTTTTACAGTCTGAAATCTTAAATCTATGGCCACATTTAGAGATAAGCCTTAGTATATATACACCTCGCTCCACACCACCAATCTGGCCACCCACTTCTTAACGCCTTCCAAACTTTTCTATAAGACGTTAAACAAGTGCCCCACCCGTCTGTGTGGCTTATATGATTTCTTGCCTGATCCTTTCGCCTTCTCTGCCTGTATCCCCCATCTCTATCTTTCTCCAACCATTGACTCTGTGCATTTTTTCCCATTTACCCTCGTCTCCCCTTACTTGGCTTTATCAATCAGTGGGTTGTGCCTTTTGTATACGGCTCTCGGGATCAAATCAGATTCACTTCGGGATTGAATGCGTGTAGCCATGGCCCGCTGCATTTGAGAGGCAATTCATTCAGCCGGAACTTTGTGGTTCAATTTGAAACGAGATTGATGTTGGCAAACTTCACACCCCCTTTCTTCCAAAATGCTTCCTCCGCTGCCCCACATCAATTGCTGATGGACAAAAGGGCACATGCCACTTTGTAATGGTGATTTCTCGGCCTCTCAGCAAAAACAACACAATAAAAACTAGATTTAAGTTGAAAAACAACAACTGAAAGCTCAAAGTTTTGCTCATTACTTCACAAGCTACACAACATTTACTTCAGCTGACCCTCTTTGCTTTTATTATCAAAGTTTGACCACTTCTCCACTCTAGCCTCTTGTATCCATGGGTGATGGAAAAATGCAACTGTTGCCATAGCAATCAACAATTCAAACTAAAATTAGCTGGCTTGTGAATGGTCAAAATGTCCTTGATAAAAATGTGTTTAAATTACAGTTATGGACCATTTTATGGACCATTTTGAATGGAAGATTTGAATTAGTTCCTATTATTTCTTTCTATTAATACACTCATT